TGTTGAGCACATGAAGTCATTCTTTAAAGATACTCTATTATCCTAAAGTATAATACCTTCTCTTTGAACTTATATATGTAATAGAAATAAATAAAAGAAGCTTACGAGTGCATATGTGTATTTTCTCCCTCTCTCTCTCTCTCCATTTAAAAACTCCATTTGGTAGTCCCAAGAATCATTCTTACTATTTATGCAGGAACATTTATTTGATATGTTGACCTTTCCACCAGTTTGATTTTATACATTTGAACTTTTCAAACCATTGCCTGAATTTTGGATTCATTTTTGTGGACAGGTAGGCAACCAAAAATATCATTTTTATCCAGTTTGAAAGGGTGCAGACTCATTTATTGTTTAATTATTTTACCAAATATTTTGTGTGTGGCACTCTCAATCAATTTCAGTAATGCATTTCCAGATACAAATTAACTAGGTTGACAAAATTCAGAGTTTTTTCTGGACATCCATATACCAAATAGTGGCTTCCCCCACTCTCCCAGCAGCCACCTCCCGTTCCCATACATAAATGGCAGCCAGCAATGGCTAGAAACAAAGGACTCTCTCCCAGTCCCTGAATACAGTGACATTCATTCTGAGAGAAGCTGGGGCAGCTTTTTGAAAGCCAACTTCTTCAGTTCGACAATAACACACAATGAGTTATTGACTTGTTTATATACGGAGCTCTTTTCAGTAACTAACTCTGACTCCCACAGTCTGGACAAATGATTGATTTCGTGGTTAGAAAAAGAGAAAGCTCTCGCGCTAAACTCTGTAGTGCAAACTACTTCTTCCCCATTTGTTCTGTAACTGAATAGGACCTTATTAAAATGCACTTTCCAAAAAAATACCTGCAGCTGGCCTTTATAACCATGTTTTGTATATATAAATAAGTAATTTGTCCCAGTCTTTTGTATATTAACAAACCATTGGGAAACTTGTCAATATATATGAAGGCTGAATATTGTGTTGTTTCTGCTAAAACAGTATAACCTATATTGATCTGCATATAAAATATGGATCAAATATTAATAAGGTCAATTAATCTATTGATCTAATGAAAACCTTGGAATTTTGATATTAATAGATTCCGTTTTCTTGTTAGGTCATGTTGATTTATTAGCACATTTTATATAACACATTTCATATACTTCACATTTGAATATCATTAGCTATTCTTCTGAATACAAAGAAAACAACATGCAGAACTACAGTGGAGAGCAATGAGAGTTTGGTTGGACTAAAAGGCTTTTCCCCCTTTGACTAGTAACTATCTGGAATATCAGTATGAATTAGGTAGAGAGACTACACTAGCTGGTTTGAATTACTATACCTTTTCTAAAGATATTAATAATTGAACTCTAGTGTTACTATACAACTTTCTCCTATAAAATAGAATTTTTAAAATCTTAATATGTTGTTAAAATTTTTACACAATCTGTATGATTTTTATAAGTACACTTTAAAATATATTGGGGGGAGTTAAAAAGAAAATCCATCAGCAGCTAGTGATGCACTTAAGATGGGATCACTGCTGTTATGGCTGTATTTCTCCAGCAGGAGGTCTTGAGCCTGTTTTCCCCTCTAGGATGTGCATAACAGAGCTTCTTGAGACAGCAAACGCTTGAAACATTCCTTGAAATTAAGAGCACTTTTAATTATGGTCACAAAGGGCTGCATGTTTTAAAAAGAACTATGTATTACTGACCTATGACCACTTCGGGCTTTGGAGAGGCCACACTGCCTGAAACCTTAGTTTTGAGTAAAATAGATGATACATTTTGGAAGGTAACAACCAATGGAAATTGTTTCATTGGAATCTGTTATTTCAGGTACACCTTTGTGGATTTTTCCCCTTAGTTTCTAAATAAACTGCTTGATGTGAATTTATTCCTTTTTATTTTCTATTTATTTAACCAGACCATTTTCCTGAAAGAATTTTGCTCAGTTTTCTTTGACAGAGCCATTATGTTTCTTGTTTCTTCAATTTCGGATACTGTTCTTGCCTAGTCTCTTGATTGTTCTATTCTGGTTCCCATTAGTATTGAATGAAACCAACTTTAGCCTAAGTATGTATGGCTAACGTTTGTTACAAGTTTTAAAACTCTTAGCAGCAAGGCCTTTTGTCTATTTAAAAATCAACAAAAATAATGAATGAAACCTTCCTGTTTAGCTTGTTAGATTTTCATGTGCACAATGAATACCTGAAGATGCCTTCTTATATTTAAAAGGGACAAGATATATTTGGAACCAAGTGACTTAATTTCCTCCTCTCCTGTATGGTGAGGATTTGATTTTTCAGTTATATACAAATTTTAATCATCTTTCTGTTTCCAATTTTTAATTTTTGAAATCTCTACCCTTCTTAACACATGAAAAATCAACCTCAGAAATATCAAACCCATTGACAAAAAGTTATTTCATATATTTTAGATAAGAACAGTGAATCAAAAGCATATAGTTTTATTTTAATGAAGAAACAGGCTATTCTTTCGAAGGTGACAGGAGAGAAGAATCCTACCATTGTATCATGTCATGGGGTTTGAGGGAAAGATGCTGTTAACACTGCATATTATTAATACCTCAGGCTGAAAGTGCCCTTTCTCAATTTAACATTTTACTTTCAATAATTTTCCCTAAATGATTTCATTAAAATGTGTCTTTTGGAATGTTTTATCTATTTCCAGAAAAGGCCCCATGTGTGTATCTTCATATTTTGGTGACCATTTATTTCTTAATATCTTACTGTACTTCCCTTTGGGACTATGCATGTGATGCTTTTCAGTAACATTGGTCTGTTTGTAGATTAGTTAGTGCTTCTTTAGAAGTTGAATATTAGAATGGAGGTGAGTTTTTCCAAATGCAGTGCTTTCAAAGGTAAAGAATTCCCACCTTTTAAATAGAAAGTTTCTTGGCAGCAGTTCTAAATGTCTTGGCCGGGAAAACTCATTAGCATTGGCATCACCTGCTGTGGCACCAGAGTTTTAGGGCTCTATTTTTGTTTTGTTTTGCTTCCCTTTAAAAACGATCTGCTCTGCACAAGGTCAGGAGTTTGAGACCAGCCTGAGTAACATGATAAAACCCCGTCTCTACTAAAAATACAAAAAAATTAGCTGGGCATGGTGACATGCACCTGTAATCCCAGCTACTCAGGAAGCTGAGGCAGGAGAATCGCTTGAACCTGGGAGGTGAAGGTTGCAGTGTGCCAAGATTGCACCACTGCACTCCAGCCTGGGTGACAGAGTGAGACTCCATCTCAAAAAAAAAAAAAAATATGCTCTGAAAATGTTTGCATTTATAAAGAATAGATGAACTTGGTAAATATTCTCCTTTCTCTCTTCTAAATTTTCTCTAGAGATGAGAACTCCCCTGCTAAAATAAACAGACACTTGAGACCAATATGCTGTGCCATGATTCACACATAGGCTTCCATGTGTGGAAGTTGAGCTTGACATTTAAGTTTTCTTAGTATTATAGTTTTATTTATTTATTTTTTATCATTTAACAACAGTAACAAATATATTCCTTGGGAATAGTTTCACATAATGATTTTTCAAAAACTCTATCACTGATTCTCAATCTAGGGCAAGGAGGGGTGGGGATTGGCAAACCACTGCGTGCTGTCCAAATTCAGCCTGCCGTATGTTGTTATGAGTTGTTTTTAAAAATTTTGTTGAGGCATAGCCATACTCATATATATGTATATATTTATTTATAGTCTATTTCATGCTACAATGGCAGAGTGGAGTAATCGCAACAGAGATGTAGATTGTATTCTCCCCCTGCCCCCACAAAGCCTAAAATATTTATGATCTGGCCCTTTACAGAAACGTTTGTCAACTCCTTATCTAGGGTGATCATCAGAAACACCAAAAGATCCCTGGGCCTTTCCTCTCTACCAAAACAGAATCTCTGATATACTGAGCTGTGTTTCATATCATTGGATGAAGTATCTACAGGTTTAAAACTATGATTCTAGCATATATACACCTCTAAATTCAAGAGATCATATTTTTGAACGTCCCTTCCTCTATTTTATGCCAAATATGGGAGTAAGTCTTCAGGTAGGGTATGGATTAAAGATTCACGTTAAACATGATTTTCAAGGTATGCAATTAAGAAGGCCTACTTAACAACACTAACAAAAGAATATGTAAAATATGTTCATTATTTGGTTTTACTCTAATGCCCTATAAGGAAATATGGTATGGCAAGTCCATTGCTAAAGAATTATTAGTCCAATTCAGAGGGCTCTCTATCAGGCTCTTGTTCTCTTTCTATTAATGTCAGTCTGTTGAGCAATTAGTATTTGGGAGTTTAACATTTTTCTTTTGTTGGAAAATAAGAATTTCATAAAAAACATTAAAATATTATGTTTTGTATGAAAATAGCATTTGTTTCTACAAGGATTATTTATAAAGAAATATAGAATGGGCCACATTCACTTTTTTATAACACATGGGTTAGCAGCAGTAGTAAAAATCCTTTATCTAATTTTGTAAATGGAGCAGGTTCGAGGTAACTGTTCATATATTTAATACATGATCCTTTGTCGTGAAATGTTATAAATGATTTAGCACTATTCTAGACTACTGAACTGACACTTTTGATTTACATCCTTGACTTCTTATCCTGACATAACAGCACTCCCTACTTGTAATGAAAGGTTTTAATATAAATATTTACCTTTTTTTTTAAGTTGCCGTGTTCATTTTAATAAAATGCTTTAAAAAAGTACTCATCAGTGTCTAATATCTGCAGTTTAGGACTCTCTTGCCCTAAGTCATCTTTAGTAATCCTCAAAACAATAAAATATTGAAAATAAAAGATTCAGTGTGTTAAATGTTTTAAATATAAAAATGAAATTTAGAGTTCATCTTCATATATCAGCAAAATTAATATCAAATCACATTCATGATTATGCTTAACTAGTTATTTAAATAAATGTTGCTATTAGGTGTCAATAGATACCTGCTTTCATGCTGTTTATTTCTTTTTTCTAGTTGAACCTGGCCATGAATGAACAAAAGGAGAACATTACAGAAAAAGTCATTCTTTCAATGACAGCAAAGGAACACCGTAAAGAGCAAGAAGAAGTGAGGAAATAACTGTAAACTGTATTTTAAAGCCACAATGAACATTAATTTTAAAATTAAGATAAATTTTTCTTTTGGTCTTATAGTAAATCGACTCTTGTTAACTGAAGAAAACTTATAATAGAAACAAACTGATCACAACTGGGTATCGTTTTATTGATAAAGACAGCATGAAAAAATACTGCATGCTTAAAAGAATAAATCAACTTATAATTTTCTTAAAAAAGTTTCATGAATATTTTCTCATAAATTTCCTCAATTAGTAAATTGTTACATACAACTTGAAATTGGAAGTTATAAAACCTGCCAACTTGGGAAAAAACATTAAAATTTTGTTGAATTTTTGATAAATAGCAAATCTTGCTGTTATATCCGGTTTTCTAAGAACAGAGTTACTGTTCTGAATTTTTAAAATGCTAACAAAGTCGTATTTTATCCAGGGAAAACTATAGTTTACAAATGTTAAGCCTAAGTGAGATAATCAGAAGATCCTGTAGGCAATGTTGTAATGAAGAACAATATTATTATTAAAGCAAACCTTCTTCTCTTCAAAGCTCATGCTGTGAAGTTGACAGCCTATTCCATAAATGAAATAATACAAAATTGGTGTTAGACAAAAGGGGAAAATGATTTTCATGTCGTTTCCTGGAATGCAAAAGCATTTAATCTTTCTAAGGAAAAAATGTGAATTTCCTAGTTTCCCTGTACTACCGTCAGTAAAAATCCAAAGTAACTTCAGAAATAAGATAATTTGAATATTAAAAAATTAACTTTTTATATATATATCTCTTTTGATATTTTGGTAAAGAAATGGATTCAAGCTTCAGGGTTTTAATATTTCTTATCATTATCATTATATCTTTCTTACTAACCATGTCTTTTGTAATAGATGAAAAAGTACAATGCACCAAATTTTCCTGTGTAAATTCTAGCTTGTATTAGAGACTATATTAGTATTTGGGACATATTTGTCTGGTATTAAGGACTATATTATAAAAACTGATTAGCTATCTCAGTATATTATATTTCATAAGAAAAAATAAACTATTTCTAAAATAGAATAAACAGCAATTATAGAGATTTAAGTTACAGTTCTGACTCATTCTCCTGAATATTAACAAGTTACAAGTGTAGGTTGTTAATTATAAATTTGAAAAAATATCATTCTCTATGTGTTTGAAAAATGTTTTACCAGAATTGGAGAATTTACTTACATTTTCACCCTAAGTTAAAAATGAATCTACCATGTATTTTGTAAACTTTGGGAAATGCAAAGAAGTATCTCTAGATTAATTAGTATAATTAAAATTATATCTATAGCATACCAATTATTATTAGAGATTAAATAGAAAATAATCTAGAAAAATTAAATATTTTTTCTTCCTTTTAAACACTGTAATTATTTTTCCTTTTGATATTTTATGCAAAATTATAATTTCAATGGACTAAAAACTTGAAGTGGCCTTGGAAAATGATCAGTATACCAAATATGTAATTTTAAATCTTACCTTGTTAGCAGCATTGAAAATGAAAATTATCTTTTCTGGAAAATCTAATGGAAATTATGTTTATTTGGTGTTTCTCTTTGTTATCATCATCTTTATGTTTATTTAGCACTATATATTTCAGTGTTCTTCCTATACGATGCCTTATTTAGTCATATATTTGCTTTTTCAGCTCTGGCTCAGAAAGTCTTTTCTTTACTTCAAAAATCAAATACACAGCGAGTGGAATATATACTCATTTTTGTGTATGTTTATGTGTGTATATACATATGATACTTTCTAAATATGTTCTATAGCCTCTGAGGATAATTTCTATGTGATTACTTGGAAAGTGATTATATTAATCTGGATGTGTAAGTTCTAATTTTTGGTTAGAGAAAAATCTAAGATGCTTAGAAAAATTCTTGTTACCATTAACATAACTCTGTTGCCAGGTGAGTTATGAAGGCATTTAAAATGACACCATTTTCAGTTGTTTCTTACCCCATGAGTGGATGAGGAATTTAGACCGTTGAATAGCCTTAAAAACTTTTGATTAGAAAGAGTCTAAAACTTTAGGGCTAAAATATCAAGTCTAATCAACATTCCAAAAAGGAAAATTCTGATGGAAAACAGAAAGGAAAAATTTGGGGGTGAAATTACTTCATTATTTTTCCTATGATTTTTATACAAATACTACATTCCTAAACAATTCTCAAAACCCAAACTAAACATCATAAAATCTGAGCTTTAGCTCCTTTTCTACTGCCTGCAGTTTTATCTTAAAATCTTGTTTTATTTCACATAATTTTTTCATATGAAATGTGAAAGTAACAATAATATATGCATCATAAAACCACTTTTGAGGTGACGATATATGTTAAAGTACATTAAGCTTTTTTTTTTTAGAAATAGAATCTCTCTGTTACCTATACTGGAATGCAGCAGTGTGATCATCGCTTACCACAGCCGTGAAGTCCTGGGTTTAAGTGAGCCTCTTGTTTCAGCCTCCTGAGTAGTTGAGACTTTAGGCATATACCACCAGGCCAAGCTCGTTTAAAATTTTTTTTTGTAGAGATAGGGTCTTGCTATGTTGCCCAGACTGGTCTTGAACTCCTGGCCTCAAGTGATCTCCTCACCTTGGCTTCCCAAAGTGCTGGGAATGCAGAGGTGAGCCACTGTGCCCAGCCACATTAAGTCTTTTGGAAATTTCTTTATGGCTTATTATTGTCAATATAAAAGTGCATCATTCTAGGTTCTCTATAATGTAAGTACAAAGATGAGATTAAATGTGTAGGAATGTTGTTAGAAGAAATGGCTATAAGAGAAAATGGAGACATCACTGGTTAAGTCTGAGTAAACTGCAGACTGAAATGCAGGCCCACCCCAAGTGAGAGAGGAAAGGAAGGTTGGGTGGAAACATCGTGAACCACTGTGCAATCTAAAGGTTTGGCAAAACGATTGGTGTGTTTTTGAGCCAAACTTGGCCATCAGAGAAGTCCTGTGACTCTCAGGGATAGACTTGCCTTAGTATCCTCAAACATTCGTATAACCTGCTGATGGATTTCTAAGCACAGTCGATGGGACCTATGGTCACTTATGCTCCTGTAGTTAGAGGTCTGTGAGACACAGTCTCATAGCTGTCCCACAGGTATAGTTGGCATCATCTTTGTTGCCATCAACATAGCCCCATTGCCAGAAGAGTTATGAAGACATTGAAGACATCTGTTTTCAATTGTACCTTCCCCCATGAATGGATGGAGATGTTAGATTGTTGAACAGGCCAAAAAGCAGCACACGAGGGACCTCCGGCTGAAAATAGGTTAGATCTACCTCCAAAATGTTTCCCACCTCAGAAGGGTTCTAGGAAGCTATTAAAAATTTGGTAGTATTTGGGCTGGGCATGGTGGCTCATGCCTGTAGTCCCAGCACTTTGGGAAGCTGAGGCGGGCAGATCACTTGAGGCTGGGGGTTTGAGACCATGTAGCCTGGCCAACATGGTGAAACCCCGTATTTACTAGAAATACAAAAATTAGCTGGGCATGGTGGTGCATGCCTGTAATCCCAGCTACTGGGAAGGCTGAGGCAAGAGAGTCACTTGAACCTGGGAGGCGGAGGTTGCAGTGAGCTGAGTTCATGCTGCTGCACTCCATTCTGGGTGACAGAGTGAGACTCTGGGTCAAAAACAAACAAACAAAAAAAACAAAATGAAAACAAAAACAGAACTTTAGTAGCATTTAAAGTGCTGGCAGTAAGAGGTGCTACGCACTTCAGATTTCCTGGTTACTTACATCCACTGCAACTTCGAAAGCAAGAAATAGTTCACTTTGCTCTCAGCCTTCCATGTCTTTTCCAATCTTCAGTCAACAAATCAGGGTTATGTTTCCTTCTTAGCCTGTAAAACACTGTATTGTTGGTTTTGAAACCAAGAAGAGATTTTAGGCCATTGAAAATACTCATTTTATTTCCCTGCCTCCTTACTGATTCATCTAAAATATGTTGTTAATTAGAAAGTTTTTGGATCGTAAATTGAAGCGCTGACCTGGCTTTGAGACCATGCCGTGTGTTACATGCCTAGATGACGTTACTAGCATAGAAGCCGCCACCCTTTGTACTGATTTCAAGTGACAGTTCTGTGCAAAGTGCTCTGGAGTTCTCTTTAATAACATGGGTGGATTCAAGCCCACACAGAATTCAGGATGACAGCTGAACTCATCACTAGAAGAACCAGGAACTCCTCAAAGAGTCATTAATAATAGCCAATGTACAGTATTCACAATGTATGGCTCAGAAATACACAGCTTCAACATGTATGCTTTTTAAGACTGATTATAAACAGAATAACACTTTGTTCTGACTATAAATCATCTTGAGAATTTAATTGAATTCAAAGGTTGCATGCATACATCATACAAACATGATCAAACTGCCATACATGTGATACAAAAACCTGTCTGTATGTTTATAGACGTGCACATTTGTATTCTTTCAGAAGTTTGGTTTGTTTTCTCACTAGAAGATTCAATATTTTTTCACTACCTTCTGCTCATTTGTCACTCTCCAAATTCTGTACAAGTGTCACTTCCGTGCTGCATTTCCATGGAGAATGAAGGGTAGAATGTGTAGGCTTTCTGCTGCACAATGAGATGGTGCATTTTTTCAACATATGCATACGTAAGCCTTCTTTTGTGAATGGGACTGATAGGGTCAGATAATGTTTAAAGGGAAAGGCTTTATGTCTCTCAGGCCTCTATGTTTCCACATGGATGCTCCCACACACACATAGATTGAATTATGAACAGACCCATTAATGCTGGGATCACAAAAGGTCAAGTTTTGTCTTCTTTTGCCCCTATTCACATTGCCTTTGTAGAGAAAAAAAAGGATTTGCAAAAAAAAAAAAAAATTCATGATGAAGAATTTTAAAGAACATTTTCCCCCTTTTAGCAACATCTGTGATTTGGGAAAAAAAATCTTATTATGTAAAATAATTCAGAAGTATCATATTACCTATACTGATTTTAGTATATGAGTTTAGTATATGAGTATATATTACATATACTGATTTTAGTATATGAGTTATTTCATGTGTAGAGTTGTCTTTTAGGATGACATTGCTATTATAATAACAATAAAAAGTAACACTTTGAGGATAAAAGCCCTTATGAATATGTGAAGTAACATAAAATTTGAGTAAAACTGAATGGAAACATTATCAAAATGTCAGTGGCAGGATTCTTAATATATTTTCTCCTGTGCTTATGATACGTTAATCTTTGCTAGATACCTTGATAGTTTTAAGTTATTTTTTAAAATCAGGTGATAATTGATGTAATTATGTTTTACATATGTTAACATTATCCTGGGGCCAATAAAAATAGTAGAGAAGGTCTTTGAAGCAACCAAAAATCTATCCCAGATGAAATTTTTAAGACTTTAGCCAATAGCCCTTTAGAGTGCAAATGACATCACCAATTGTATGGTTGGTTGATTTTTGATGTCACATGAAATCCCCTATCAGTGAAAGGCTATGGATTGTGACAGTAAAACCAGTCATGTATAAAAATGCCCTCAAATCAAAGTCTGAGTTTCCTACCCTCCTTCACTTTTTTTTGGTGACTTGCTATATAGTACAAGGTGCAGTACTTGAAATTATAGAGAACATTATAATTGACTAGCGAAATGCAATGTATGCTACTTAGCAGACTTTCAAGACTGCGTAACATTATATCTTCCTCAATCACATGATGCTGGAGGTGGATTCAGAGAGGACCAGTATTTTTTGGAAATGGAGTCCTTCTATTTAGGGCCTTTGGTTTTTGGATTTTAATTTCATCAGATAACCATATATGCAAGCCACCTGTCCTATATTGGTCTTTAGCTTCAAGGATATTATACACTATTACCCAATTTTTTTTTAGGATAATACTGCTGGAGGGTAGTATGATCTGGTGGTGAAGAAGAGGCTGAAAGCATTGACTAATACTGGAGATCATCTGTCAGTTCCATATTTTAAATGTCACAACTTGCTTATAAGATTAACACTACTATGGAAAGCATAGAAATTCATTCCAAAAAGTAAGGAAAGAAGGATCACGAGAGAATCCTGTCCCTGCATTTTATAGCCTATATATTATATTATTTTCTTTTTCTTCCCTCCTCATTTTCCCCAGTCACTTTATCCTTTTAGTTTCTTCCCGCCTCTTCTTTTCTTTTTCTTTTCATTAATTTTGTTTTCCTTATCTCATTTTCTCTTTCGCTTTCTCTTAGGATTCCTCCTGACCTCCCTGTATTGCCTCTGCATTCCATTCCCATGATACCAAAGTTGTGTCCAAATCTCACTGGCGTGAGGGGGCTTCCTTTTGAATAGATAATAGAAATTTTTATAAACTCTCATTAAATTTATAGTTAAGGGATGACTCTTAGTAATCTACATAAATTATATAGGATTGTCGGGATTTAGTAGAACACAATATGTTTATCAGCTTTTGGTAAATTGTGTTGCATAAGTCAACAAGCCCAATATCTAAGTGACTTAAAACAAGTATTCGTTTTTTGCTCACCTTACATGTTGGCTACTGGTTGTTTGTGGCTCTCACCAGTATGTCTTTCTCAATCTGGGATACAGCTGGAAGGAGCAGCTTCTGTTGGGACAATACTGTTTTCATGGTGGCGGGGGTGGGTGGGAAGAGAGTGATAGCAGATAATGGTTCTCAAGGTTTCTGCTAAGAAGTGGCATATATTACTTCTGTTCATATTTCATTGGCCAAAACAATTCACATAAGAATTCTGATGTCACATATATATCACATATAATTCTAACAGAATTATTAGTAAATAATGAACAATAGACAGCTGACTTTGATTAAGTGCCACATAGTAATATCCAGTTACTAAGTGCAGGAGGAAGTGGGATTTCCGATGAGTGGACTTGGATATAAGAGAGTAATGAGTTATAAAACTATAACCTAGGCATCATGGGACCTACACTTTAATTTCAATGCCAATACTAATTATCTGAGTATCCTGGGCAAATTAACTTTTCTGGGACAGAATTTCCTCATTTGTGAGATCAGAGTGTTGGGTTAAACATTATCTAACTTATTATGATACTCTAGAAATGGAAAGGATGTGTGTATGTGTGTGTGTGATGGGGCAACGGGACAGTGAGAAGAGACATTTGGTTAGAGGAGAGGGGTCTGATGTGAGTATAAGCCATACAGCCAGGTGGGGACCAGATTATAAGAGGTCTTGGAATCTTGAATACCAAGCTTAAGAATCCGAGGGAGCTTAATAGGTGGTTTAATATACTTTTCAAGGTAGATTAATTTGGTGGAGGTGGCCTGATGGCATAGAGGGGAAGAGATGGGAACAGGGAGACTACTTAGTAGATCCAAACTGGAGAGGGGGATGAGGAGATTGATGGTATGAACCGAAGTATTACTTGTAAGAAAGGAAAGAATGGATAGGAAATATACATATTTAGAAGAGGGATCTGCAAAATATAGCCCTGGGGATAAATGTCTAGCCTGCAGCTTATTTTTTTTAAATAAAGTTTTATTTGAACACAGCCATGCTCATTTATTTATATCTTGTCTGTATCTGCTTTCCACGTGCAGCTGTAGAGTTAAATAATTTTGACAGAAACCTTATGGACTACAAAGCCAAAAATATTTAATAGGTGACTTTTTTTTTCTTTTTTTTGAGATGGAATCTCGCTCTGTCACCCAGGCTAGAGTGCGGTGGTGCCATCTCGGCGTACTGCAACCTGCGCCTTCTGGGTTCAAGTGATTTTCCTGCCTCAGCCTCCTGAGTAGCTGGGATTACAGGTGCACACCACCACACTCGGCTAATTTTTGTGTTTTTAGTAGAGACAGAGTTTCACCACATTGGTCAGGTTGGTCAGGTCTTGAATTCCTGACCTCATGATCTGCCTGTATGTGGCCCTTTTTATAGTAAGTTTGTCAACCTTTTATTTAGAAGAAAGGATTATTTAAAGGGAGTAGACAATTTGTTGCATAGGGACAAATAAGAGAGATATGGGAAACAAAAGCAAAATAGGAATCATTTTAACTTGTTTCTATGCATGAAATGCTTGTAAAGGTCTTGGTAAAGGTCAAGTGTAATTAAAATTTATATGTATAGAAATACATATAAACTTGAACTAAATAGGTAGATAATACATATTCAAGTTATATCAGTAATAGTACAAACTGGCTTTCACTGACTTCCCTGAAAGCTCTGTAGAAGGGATAGAAATAATGGATTTAAAATCAGAATTAGAATATAGGCTGGGGCAAATACCACATTTTTAGCTGATAGGGAAGTGGATGAGCTGTAAGTACATCGAAGACTCTTGGAGAAGGATTTCCCATTTTATCTGTGAACATTGAAATGAGCTGTAGGATCTATACAGCAAATAGTTTGTAAGTTTTGTGTCCTCATGTGAAATAGTGGTAGGGATAGGAAAGAGACCAAGAAACAAAAAATTAAAATTTGATATGGAGAAAACACCTAGATTTTAAAAAAGAAACACTATAAAAATATTAACAGTGCATATGGCACTTACCGTAGGTTAGACAGTGTGCTCTTCATTTTTTATCTCATTTAATTATCAATATGTAAAGCCAGTGTTATTCTTCATTTGTGGACAAGGATTTTATTACCTGTGCAAAGTCTTCCAATCAGTAAGTGATGTAGCCAAGATTTTAACCCAAGTTTTCAACACCAATGCTCTATTCAAACCCATTCATAATTCTAAATGGGTCTAATTTGGTTACTTTGAAGAATCACAGATGAGGTAGATTTCTGTTCTTTATCTCTTTTGGTCACTACCATAATATCAACCAGTTTTTATGGAAGAATCCAGCCTAGTAGAGAGAATATGTTTACATAAACAGTGAAGAGTCAAATAATGGGTATGATTCTTAATTTGTAAACTATATTGGTTAAAATGTTAACTACTGCTATTAATAATCCACCAGTAAAGTTCATATGTATGTCTTAAATATACCATGTAGAAATCTAGAAATTTAAAAATCAAAGTTACAGAATCCTTTGTCTTTGGTGTTTCTGGAAAAACTGCATGCTTTATTCTGACATTAATATGTATTTAAAATATTTTTTAGAACAGAGCATTATCTTTGAAGTTATAGACATTTTGAAAAACTGTATCTATGAAATTAGGAAAAGAGTATTGGAATATTTGGGAGGAAGACAATAGATTAATTTTAAAGGTCAACAAAATGATAATGAATTTAATATATATATAATTTAAATGAAATACATAATAAAATATTCTAAAAAGGAAGGTACATATAGTGAAATGTGAAATGAAGTATTTGGTGGTGGGCTGCATATATTGGATTATTTAAAGTCCTGGGAGGGTTTTAATTTGTTAAGCAGTTTAAAAGTTATTTGCAAACTTGTCAAATGTATACGTTTCTTTTCATATCCGGAGATATTTTTCATTCAGCAATTGTAAAGGGCTACCTATCTAATATTACAAAAGTGAAAATGTTATACATTTTTTCATAAAAAAATTTGTAGATGTAGGAATGTATATTTCTTCCATTGTTTTTATTTGAGGATAGATCCGTACTTAAATTCTTGTATTGAAGTCATTTTCCCCCCATCAAGCTATGTACTCAAAAATCTAATAGGTGTGACATCAACAATTACTTCTTGCTAACAACGCTTGTAATTTAACCCCTTCAGGTGAGCAGGCTGATTGATGAATTGCAGACAGCTATCAAAAGCAACAGAGGTCATCTCTCTAAACTTGGCCCCCAATTACAGGCTGAGCAGGAGCAATTCTCCTCTTATGTCTACCAACACATTAAAAGCCTTCCAGCAAACACGCTTGTCCCAGGAGGCCTGCAACTCAAGGTGGGTGTCATTCTGTGCCTCTCACTGGATTCAGCCAGAGCAGAAGCATTCTGCTCCATTTGAAGACCCTTATAACAATGCCACACAGCTTGAATTTTTTTTAATGTTGGCTTCCTCAAATTGGTAGTATTACAAGTCATAATATTATTATTCAGGAAATAGATTTTAAAAGAAAATACCTAGATACCTTTGAAATGTATATTTATAAGCTTTAACTAGTTTTCAATTCAGAAAAGTAATTTTAATGAAGCAATTGAATCATGTGAACATTTGCATATTTTTCCAAGAAACAAATTTTTCACAGTGGTCATGGTATATTTCAGTTTCTAAAACTAACATTTGGAGAAATGGGCAAGCTTTAATAGTTGACAGACAGTGGCAATAGAAATTGAAGGTGAAAGGCCAGGTGACTGATTGATGTTCCAACTACATTTCCAAGGAAAAGGATCTGTATTGGATAAGTGTGACACATGTCTGAGTTCACTTGGTAAAATCAATACTTAAGAATATACTGGGAAAAAAGGTGAATTGGTTATTTGTCAGGACAGGATCGCTAAATGTCCTCCACTACTTTGCTATTGCGTCTTGGAGAGGGAGAAAGAATAACTCATACTTGGCTAGAGTGGTTTTAGTACAAAAAGGTTAGGGAATTTAAATAATTTTGTTTTTCATAGTAGACTATTCATGTTAAGTCTATCAGGCTGACATTATCCTATAATTTCATATCCTGCATTTCAAGAGATTGTAGTTAGTAAAATTTGAATTACTCAAAGTATGACCTTTTTCCATTTAAGAAATCACTGTTACTACAACTCGTCATTTCCTTTTGATTATTTTTATGGGTATGTGATAACATTTGAAGTAAATTATATTTTGATCAACCTTCACCTCTGTGATTTCTCTTTCTTAATATTGTTTCTTTCTGCAAGTAAGATTATATTTTCTATCTGTAACGTTTCTTTTGATGACATTCCCATGTGTGTATTTTGAGTAAGAACATTACAGTGTCCAAACGGACTTTTTGGGAAATGTAATTCCATGTTAAACATGATAATTTATTTCTCATAGTCTGCTAGTCAGCTAAGGGTTTAGAAAGTAATGTTCAAGACATCAAGGTCAAGGGTTTCTATAATGCAGTAGCATTGTTCTTTTTCAGGATTTTGACTTGATTACAAATCCGTTCAGCAATTCTGCAAAGTACTTGCTATTGATTAAGAGAGAAACCAGGTGAGGGAGAGTGGTTGTTTTCTAGAAGGATGCAGCTGCTAAGAAAAAAATAAAAAGGGAGAGGATAGTGTAGTTGCCTTAATGGCATTCATCCCACTCATTTGCATCAGCAACTATCCATATGAACTGTAGTGTAACCTGGAAAAAAAGTGTTGTTTTTATTCTCACAAGTTGAGTGCTTATTTCTGAAGAATTTCTACTGCTTATACATATTAGCACATGGGCTAGATAGCAAATATTTAACCTTAGGATTGGAATTGTTACTACTGTCATGTATACTTTTTAAATTTAATTTTTATTTTTCAAGTTCTGGGCTACATGTGCAGAATGTGCAGGTTTGTTATATAGGTAAACACATGCCATGGTGGTTTGCTGCACTTATCAACCCATCACTTAGGTATGAAGACCAACATGCATTAGCTCTTTTCCCTAACGCTTTACCCCCATCAACCCTCCCATGATGGGCCCCAGTGTGTGCTGTTCCCCTCCCTATGTCCATATGTTCTCATTGTTTAGCTCCCACTTATAACTGAGAACATGCAGTGTTTGGTTCTCTGTTCCTCAGTTAGTTTGCCAAGGATAATGGCGTCCAGCTTCATTCATATGCCTTCAAAGGACATGATCTCCTTCCTTTTAATGACTACATAGTATTCCATGGTGTATATGTACCACATTTTCCTTATCCAGTCTATCATTGGTGTGCATTTGGGTTGATTCCATGTCTTTGCTATTGTAAATAGTGTTGCAATAAACATACACATACATGTATCTTTATAACAGAGTTATTTATATTCCTTCAGGTATATACCCAGAATGAGATGCTGGATCAAGTGGTATTTCCAGTTCTAAATCCTTGAGTAATCACCACACTGTCTTCCACAATGGTTGAACTAATTTACATTCCCACCAGCAGTGTAAAGTGTTCCTATTTCTTTGCAACCATGCCAGCATCTGTTTTTTCTTGATTTTAATAATTGCCATTCTGACTGGTGTGAGATGGTATCTCATTGTGGTTTTGATTTGCATTTCTCTAATGATCAGTGATGTTGAGCTTTTTTCATATGTCAGATGGATTGCAAAACTTTTCTCCCATTGTGTAGGTTGTCTGTTGTGCTGATGATTGTTTCTTTTTCTGTGCAGAAGCTCTTTAGTTTAATTGGATCTCATTTGTCAATTTTTGCTTTTGTTGCAATTGCTTTTGGTGATTTCATCATAAAATCTGTGCCCATGCCAGTATCTTGCTTGGTATTGCCTAGATTTTTTTTCTAGGGTTTTTGTAGTTTTGAGTTTTATATTTAAGTCTTTAATTCATCTGAGTTAATTTTTATATAAGGTGTAAGGAAGGGATTCAGTTTTAATTTCCTTATATGGTTAGCCAGTTCTCACAGTGTAGCAGGACAAGCTGCAGATGAAACCTCCTGGATACCAGATTTAAAGAAGGAAGTGGCTTTATTTGGCTGGGTGCATTAACAGACTTGCCTCTCAAGAACCAAGCTCCCGGACCAATAAAATCCTAGCCATTTTAAAGGCTTACAATTCTAGAAAGTACAAGTGAGAGGGTCGTGATCGATGAAGTAGGTGTGGGGTACATGACCAGGTGGAGGTTTGAGCAAAATCGATCGAGAACAGTAGAGAGTGTTTTTCCATCTTATGCCTGGGATCTATAGCTAGGAGTGCAATTAAGGGTGGTACCTAGTCTGCTAGCCTTTACTTTTTTCTAAATACAGTTTACAACCTAGCCAAGAATGCCAGATAAGCTTGAAGCTTCACTAGAGAGTGATTACTTAAATTCCTTAGCCTCTGTACAACTCTTTTTTTTTTTTTGAGACGGAGTTTCGCTCTTATTACCCAGGCTGGAGTGCAATGGAGCAATCTCGGCTCACCGCAACCTCCACCTCCTGGGTTCAGGCAATTCTCCTGCCTCAGCCTTCTGAGTATCTGGGATTACAGGCACACACCACCATACCCAGCTAATTTTTTGTATTTTCAGTAGAGACGGGGTTTCACCTTGTTGACCAGGATGATCTTGATCTCTTGACCTCGTGATCCACCTGCCTTGGCCTCCCAAAGTGCTGGGATTACAGGTGTGAGCCACCGCGCCTGGCGCCTCTGTACAACTCTTAAGTGGCCTTTACTTTTAGTTAACTACTACTTTTGTTATGCTTATTATTTAAACTATACTCTGTTCTATTTTATTTCATTTTTGTTTTTCTTCCACAGCAGCACCATTTATTGAATAGGGAATCTTTTCCCCATTGCTTGATCAAGTTTGTCAAAGATCAGATAGTTGTAGGTTTATGGCCATATTTCTGGGTTCTCTATTCTGTTCCATTGATCTACATGTCTGTTCTTATTACCAGTACTATGCTGTTTTGGTTACTGTAGCCTTGTAGTATAGTTTGAAGTTGGGTAGTGTGATGCCTGCAGCTTTCTTCTTTTTGCTTAGGATTGTCTTGGCCATACAAGCTTTTTTTTTGGTTCCATATGAATTTTAAAATAGTTTGTCTAATTCTGTGAAGAATGTCAGTGGTAACTTAATGGGAATAGAACTGAATGTATAAATTGCTTTGGGAAATATGGCTGGTTCAACATATGTAAATCAGTAAACATAATTCATCCATAAGCAGAACTAAAGACAGAAACCACATGATTATCTCAAGAGACGCAGAAAATACCTTCGATAAAGTTCAACATACTTTCATGTTAAAAACTCTCAATAAACTATGTATTGAAGGGACATACCTCAAAATAATAAGAGCCAGTTATGACAAACCTGTAGCCAATATCATAGTGAATGAGCAAAAGCTGGAAGCATTTGCCTTGAAAACTGGTACAAGACAAGGATGCCTTCTCTCACCACTCTTATTTACTCCTTTTTAATGTGCTTTAAAATACTTTCCATACCAGCAAACAAAAGAGAAAATTTACATATGCAAAGAAGCCATGTCGTGTTTGTTTAGATTCACTATGCTGTGTAGCAAAGTAGCCACTAGTCACATATGGCTACTTACATTTAAATTTTAATTAATTAAAATAAAATAAATTATTTTTCTAGTGGTTTGCCAGGGACTTCCCTTATTTTAGTACTAAAAAGCCTGCATCCAGCAAACCAAGGTGGTTGGTCACCCTGGTCTTTTCTCCAGAATTCTTTCTCCCACATCCCAGGCATTCTTTTTATGACTTTTCCCCCTATAAAGTACTCAGCTCCATTTGCTTCTGCTTCCTCTCTCCTCAGGTTTTTTCTTTGTAACATCTAGTTTCTCTCAGAAATTAAGTTTCTCTTCCACATCTCAAGAAACCTGGATATCAGCCCCAGCCTCAGGCTTAGAAAAATGATTTTCAATACTGGCTGCATTTTAGAATCTTCTGGAGTATGTGTTTGATTGTTTGTTTTTAAAGGTACCAATGTTCCCACCCACAGCTATTTTGACTTAATTGGTTTCCTGTGCTAAGACTAACTTCTACCAGCTTGCAGGCTCTAATTGTTAAGTTGTCAGGAATATTGTAAGCCAGTAATTGTTTTATATAGCCATTATTTATAAATCATATAAACTTACAATGAAATAGGTCATACACTTCACTTCCTAATTTTTAAATTAGATTTTACTATGACCTATTCTCTTGAAGTTATTTATGCCTATTGCGTTAGTTTAGTGTAAACACTATATAATGGTGTATGCTACCGTGTATTTCTTCCTAAGTTTATTTTCAGTGATGGCTTATTGTATCTGAAAATTGGCCACAGTCAAGAGTATTTATACAATAGAAATTGGCAAATACTATACATGAGGGCTTGATTTAATGTCTTATTGATTGTCTAGATGAGGGAGTTGAAATACCACATACTATGGGCCCAATCTGCCTGTTTACTCTTTTTGTAAATAAATTTTTACTGGAATATAGCCATACGTATTTGTTTTGTATTGTCTATGGCTGCTTTCATATTACCATGGCAGAGTGGAGACCATACGACTTGAAAAGCCTAAAGTATAAGTTTGTTGATCTGTGGTCTAGAGTTAAGTATGTGATGAAAGATATTCACAATGCAGATTAAATTCCAAAGTGTAAAATTTCTGTGTTGCATTGTGAATAGTACAGAAATTGAAATAGTCTTTCATTATCTGATTCAGCAAAAAACTTGCTCATGTCATTGATTAGCAAGAGCAGTCCTACATATGTCTTCTTTGTTTCATTTTTGTCTTATTAACATGGATGAAAATATTAATCAACATTCAGGTCAGAACCACAGTCATTTCTCAGTTGGAAGCATAGGATGGATGTGGATACAAGACTTGGCAAAAATCAGTAAAACCATTCTGTGAGAATGAGTTGGCTATGTGGAATTTACAATAAGGAGTATTAGATATTTTACTATTATTTTCAGACTTTGTGCCGTATTGTCTTCATATCAGCAGAATTTATAATAATCACCCCCTTCCTTAAGCAGATTGCTAAACATTTACCAGCACATCTTCAGGTGTGGTGCAAGCATCGGCATTTTTTCAAAAGCTCTCAAATGATTTTATTGTATAGGCTGGACTGACAATCATAGCAAGGTTACCAAAGTAGCTTTTTAATCATAACCAGTAGCACCCCGCAAAGAAATTCTCATTCCAAGTTGCTAATTAGCTAAAATTCTTCTCCATACTTTTAAATCAGTAAAATAGGATGGGCTAGCAGTAAAATCATTTATACCAAAATTGTGGAAAAGGAGAATTTCTCCTTTGAGCCATAGCTACAAAATGATTAGTTTTATGTCTTATTTAGTAATTTTCCTTTTTAAAATGTATTTTTAGAAGGACAATTAGATAGTAAAGAAATAGAAAGACTTTTGTGGCCAGAATGACCAGACCTGAATAGGTATAACAAATGAAGTCAGTGGAGTTTACTGTGCTTAGTCCTATAGGTAGTTTAAATTCTTTCTGATGATTAGGTAACTGCCTATACCTCACTGTGTAGGTTGATATATGGGGTCTGATTTAGAATGGCTGCTACCTTCAAACATTTGAGACAATAGCATCGGAAGATAAAGCAGGCAGGAAATATATCCAAGTTAAAGATAATGCAAAGGAATGTATTTGTGAGGTATGGGAATACCTTTATCTGTCCTTGAATCTTAATTTCCTTAAATCTAATAATAATAATTATGTTTTTTATTAGAACATTGCAGAAGTCAGTAGTATGTTTTGTTTTTTTAAAAAGGAAAGTTTTCTGGCTTATGACTAATTTTTTTCACATCAGAAAATTGCTAAATAAAAGAAGTCATGATTAATTGCTGGTCTGCTCTCCCAGTTATTCATCACTATTTAGTTGTAGCCACCATGAATTGCAATAATATGTCCCAGGCATATAAAGAGGTCATTGGCATTTTCAGAGATCCAGCTCAGAGTCCTATGAATAGCACTATTTATGTATCAGAGCCACTCATTTTCCGTCTTCTGTCGGAAAGCGATGGGCTTAGGGTAAGTGAAAATTTCAATTTCTCTCTTCCCTCTCATCACTTCCCCCTTTTCCATCAGCTCTAATGATAATATCATGTTTTCATGAAAACTGTCTTATACCTGTAACATAACCTTTCTTAAGCTATCTCAAATGAAAATAAGATTTGTTGAAAACATATAAAGAAATCTTAGACAAATGAATATCAGGAAACATAGCAGAGTCTCATATGAAAGTCACTGCTTTTCCATGTCTCTTTTTCTTGACGCCCCATGATCTCTTATCTCTGCATCTCTGAGAGTTTTTCATTTGTTGAGTCAAGCTTGCTTTTTTTTTTAACTTCTTCATATGTATGTGAAGGAAAATTGGAACTCCTATCCCTAACCTTTAGGTTTAAATGATCATCATTATCTGACTAGAATTGTTTTGTCTCTTGGTTCAAATCATTTAAGGAGAGAATTTGTTTGGGTAAATCCAGTCTTAACTAGGTACTTAATGCAAATTCAACTACCCATGGCCAGAGGGTAGGGAAAGGTCAGGGACAGGTACTACATAGGAATACCCTTTCTAGTAGTTAGGCTAGAAAATAAAGTTTGTCAAAAGGAAGTCAAAGCCAAATTGACTGACATATTTCTCACATAAAATTAGATGCAATATTGTAAATAAATTATTATGTATTATTTGTGGTAATATATTCCTTCCCAGCACCATCCCACCGCCATTGTTGAATGTAGGTATTTGGACTGAGAAAAACAACTGAAATCTGTAGTTTTAAAAACTAGCTCAATGTCTGAAATAGCCAGATAGTAGAGACAAAACTGAGTTAGCAAAGTATACCCTAGATATTCAGAGTTACAAATATCTTGGAATTGGTGATGGTGATCTTGGGAATTTTGTATTTCCTCTTAGGTGGGGATAATTTGCTAATTCCCACTGAAGACACATGGAGCAAAGGCCACAGTGTACTATCTTGCATGAATTCCAGAATCAACTCATATCAGTTACCTAAACTCTAAATTCCCATAGGTGTATATGGAATGGCCTACCTTCCTTTGGACACCATCTCTAACTCAGCTATCTCTGATTCACTGTGGGCAAGGCCCACATCTTTTCCTATTATGAACAATTTTATCCCACCTTGTGGCGTGTACTATCATAGAGTGCTAAGTGACTTATCAATAAACAAATATATTTTCCATTTATAAATGAGCTTACTATAACTTATATAGCTCTAGTAAAGCATTTTTCCTCTTTTCTGTTCATTTCAATCTTAGAAAATATTTGATTAAAAATGGTGACGACGGGTGGAACACGAGGCCAAGAGATCAAGACCATCCTGGTCAACATGGTGAAACCCGTCTCTACTAAAAATACAAAAAATTGGCTGGGCATGGTGCCGCGTGCCTGTAATCCCAGCTACTCAGGAGGCTGAGGCAGGAGAATTGCCTGAACCCAGGAGGCAGAAGTTGTGGTGAGCTGAGATCGCGCCATTGCACTCCAGCCTGGGTAACAAGAGAGAAACTCCGTCTCAAAAAAAAAAAAAAAAAAATGGGGATGATTATCTTCCTAGTCTTCTTTATGATTTTTATCACTCTGTTACATATATGTGTAAGTTCGGAGCTCAACTTCAAGAATCAAAATAATGTATTGTAGCCAATATCATCTTCTAGAGCAGTGGTTCTCAACCAAGGGCTGGAGGCAGGGTGCAATTTAAAATCCTCTGGGCTGCTTTTTCATATTGTATCTGGTGTTCTTAACCTCTCCACTGAGCTTTTCATCCCTATCACATCTTTCCTTCATCAGTGAACAATAGCAGCTTTTGGTTGGGTCTTAACATTAGAAGATCACCTATTAAAAGGACCACCATTTCTGTGTTCCATATTGCCTCACTCCTGTTTTGCAATCATGTGACATAATACAGTAACAAGTTTAAATGGGCATACAAGATAAAGAACTGAGAACAGCCTAAGTGTGGTTGCTCATTTCTGCCATGGGAAAGTTCCTTGTTTAAAAAAAATTGAAACAACACCATTTGAGGAATTTTAGGAAAGAGTTCTGTCACCTTGTAATTGCATTGTTCCTAATGATCATTCTCACCTTTCACATAATTTTTATGTGCACTTGTATGTCCTATATGGTCACAACCACAGTTTATTTCTATCTGGACTCTGGTACATTCTCTCGCCATCAAGTCATAGCATCTTTTAGGTTGATGAAATTTTAGGTTGATGAATGGTTACACTCAATGTGCACCATCATCTACAAAGCCCTTCAGGCAACAAGCGTTTTGGAGCAATTTTTTACTATTCTAAACTTTCTCTTACCACTTATTCCCTGTCAATACCACTACTCTCAGTCTCTGTGAGAACATCTGCTAGAGCCATGACTCAGTGACTTCTCCCTTCTAGTCCTGTTCTTTCCATACAACTCCTCCTCCTCTTTATTTCCATGGAAATGTCAGCAATGTTAGCATTTCTCTGGGAAAGCAGGAAAGAAAAGATTGATAGGAAAGGGTATTAGCAAATCTGTAGGGGGATGGTGAGTGGGAAAGCAAGTAGGAAGGTGGGTGATTTTTGACAGAGAATTGATGAGGAAGAAGAATGTGTGATGTGTGAGTAGGTGGGAGAAAGCATGGAAGAGTGAGAGGAAGATGAGTACAGGCACATCCTTTCACTGGAATCAGTGCATTTCACACACATTTGGTCAGTGATGCTCTGAGAGTTGTTTTCTATTTGCTGCCAATCGAGGCAGATCCAGTTTCTCTGGGGCCTAGAACTTGTCAAACTTGGGAGCCAGCTTGGGATGGGGGCTATCTTTGAAATTAGGTCTGAAAGTGAATATTTGCTTAGAATGAGAAAGCAAATAGCAACAAATTAATGGAGCGTTGGCAATTCAGGCTCTTTCTTCTGAGGTCTTTTTTAGGCAGCTTATCAGAAATACTTACGTAGAACAATGTTCTGATTGATATCTAGCTTCCCTTTCCACCTGTGACAACTTCCAGAACTCTTAGGACGTAGAATGTCTTTAATCTTCATTAACTTCACTTAAATGTTTTCTGACCATGAGCAAGAGAAATATGGTAGAATTTAGTAACCTGGATAATCACAAGATTCATAGGGTCTGATGTGGATATTTCTTTTAGGCTTTCTATTTTTATATTTTTTAGTTATAGTGTTCTCTTCTAATGTACATAAGTTTAAGCTTTGTTAAAGGGATAATTCAGAGATTTCTTTTTTAAAGGATGTCTCATCCAGCATCTAGTTCATCATCCAGGTAGTATGCATCTAACAATTTTTATTCTGCCAATGACGGAAAGAAAGATTTTAAATGAATAGTCCAGTAAATCCACATATTATCAAATTCTTGTCCAGAGACATTGTGCTAGGTACTGTGGGAAGATGCAGAGAAGCATAGAATACCTTTTTGGCCCATGACCATGATTATTTTCATACAATTAGGACCAATATGACAACAATATGAACAGATTAGCAAAAATTTTTACTACAATTTCATTATTTTAAGTTTCCAGACCTCTTTATATTTTGAAAATGGGCTAATTTGGTTGATAACAGAAAAGATATAACTTTTCTATGCATTGAATACTTAAATTTATCCTTTTAATGGCACAAAAGCACCATAAAAGCAGTTGAGATTTGCCTTCTATTTTGTGGTTATTTAAAAAAAGTTTTAAGTTTGTAATCATTCATTTGTACTAATAGAAAGATTATTCTAATATTTAGGAATCTATGGAACAATGAAATGATAACTGAGGTCAGTTGTACCTGAAAGCGTGACAAGATGTTTTTCTTGGTTGGTGTTTTCACTGTTCTGCGTGCATCTTGCATTCTTATTTTCACTGTACATTCCTTGATCCTTACCTTTTGTATTTAACCACTTTTCCCAAACATGTATTTATAACCCCTAGCATGCTCTGTTATGTCACCTAAGTTATTTGAATAAACAGTGGGAAACACATTTAGGATACGGCCTAAGTACAAGTAGTAAAACAAGACAACTTTGTGTTCATTTGAAGTGGAATTTTGGCTCGAGTAGCAGCATTGGAATATGCAAGGTCATTGTGATTTCAAGAACACTCACTAAAGGTTGGGCAAAATGTAATGAAGATAATCAATCTTCACATGTAGGTTTCACAATAGTAGACAAATACTGGACCACCCATTTTAAAGATGAAGAAACTGAGATCTTGGGAAGCCTCTACACATCTCATGATCTCATGTGATAGCTAAAAAGCAGCAAGTGCTGAAATCTCACAACTCTTCTTTGCAGGACTCCTTTCCATCTTGCCACCACCTTTTCTTCCTCCTGTCCTCATTGTCCTCCTCCTCCTCCTTCTTGTGGATCATGCCAGTGTATTCACACTAGCCTGTTTTCTGACAGGCATCTGCAGTCAGGTGTAAATCTCTGTAGGAAGATACAATCTTCTTTTTCTAGATCTGCTGAAGAGAAAAACTGCGTCTGTATCAAAATCAGGGAAGAGCAATTGGTCTGGGCATTAGCTCCCATGCAGTGCCTGTTGTAATGAGACAGGCTTTCCCTGTGCGGTCCTGACATCCTAGAAGGTGCCCGGAGAATTGCCAGGTGGGCAGTCAGCGGGGAAAGTCCACAGGCTAGAGCTGTATTACTGTCCCAGCAGTTACTTGGTCTAAATGCAACCACTGAACCTTACTGTTGCAGGCATACACTCTCTCTCAGGGAGATTGTCCTTCTCCATAGCAGTTAATTTGTTTTTACCTCTCAATTAGCTTTTTCACAGAGTGTTTGATATGCTCAAGTTGCTGAGATTCCCTTCCTACATATGTTGCCGTCCCCTGGATTACCCACTGACATCTATGTTAGCCTGACTCACCATAAACGTCAGCGAGCATAAACTCTTCATTTGAACGTAAATGAATGCAGATTTTCTAGTAAGTGAAAATGAAGTGATGAATTTACACCTACTTAAGATTCTACTTAGTTTTGATAGTGCTTTATGATGAAAAAAAGTATTACTTCTTAAAATATAAATGTTTTATTTTAGATAGTAAGCTTTAGTATAGCTTTTAGCATTTCAGGATGCCCGTTCACTTTAGAGGAAAATTATGTTTACAGGAATATTTGATATAAAGAAATGAAACTGAATGGCAGTAAAAACATATACTCTATCCAAGCGTAAGAATATGATCCCTAAGCTGATAATTTGGGAGAAGTTTGATGATTTAGTTCATATTTCATCCTACAATGTTAATTTATCCTAGTAAAATAAAATTTCAGGGGCACATGACTATGTTTTTCTCATCAAAAGACAGACTTTCTATAAAAATAAATACATCAGAGTCGGGAATCTCCAAAAAACTTTATTTGCCAAGCTCTTTTTAAAAAATACATAATACTCAGCTACTGACAAGGACCCACATGCCTGATATTTTAATCCCAATTAAATATAATTTTAGGCACTAAGTTAATTTAGACAAAGTGAAATCCTTGTTGCAATTCTCCTTGAGATATTCTCGTTTATTAAGGGCTTGTTGAAATTACTTGGGTTAGGACATGACACGCAAGCAAATTTCCTTTGCCACTGTCTTCTAGAAAATTGTATGTTTTTTCATATATTGAATTTAGAATTGCAATTAAATACAAATTGAAATCTTTTTGCAGAAACATATGTCTTATTTTGGAAATGTTGTCAGTAGTCACAGAAAAATGGGGTAAGAGTATTTTTTAAAATGCTATAAGAAAACAATGGAAAATGACTTAGATACTTACAAGGAAGGAATGTGGGCCCATTCCCAGGGTCACTGTGAAGCCGATGAGGGCCATTTTACAGGAGTCTCCTTTGACCCTTTCTCTGCTCCAGCCCTCAATTCCTGCTGGCAGATAACCCAGACTCTTATTACCACCCTTTGTTCAAAACTTGCTCTTAGGAAAAAGATATGTCATATTTTGTTTTGAGCTAAGATAGTAGTTTAATTTTTTTTCCCTGAAATCAGTTCTTAGAATCCACTATGTAAAATAGATAAAAGTAGGATCTACTCTGTTTGAAGCCAGGATGGTGGCTGCTTCCACAGAGCCACTCATCAGATCTGATTTCTCATGTGGAACCACTGTTGCCCAACACCCTAATCCCAGCCCCCACTCCAGGCCTCTGAGGGATTCCAGGGAGCTGAGATTGAAAATCACAGCCTTAGAGCATCAATAACCAATAAGGCTGAATGTAGTTTCCCCTCACGTAGCTGTAGTATTTTAATTGTGACAAAGGAGTGAATCTCTAACTGAAATGTCAAGTAGTGGCCAAGTTGGTGGCTGAGAGATTTTGAGGTTAGAGTCTTTGGGCCCACTCCTAAAACCCTACCCCATAGGCAGCCACCTACTTTACATCCTTTTAAATGGCAGGCTCTGCTGTACCTTACATTGGAAATTTAAAATATCTCTTTCCAAAAAAATTATTTTCTTAGTTCTACCTTTTTTGGGCTTAAAAATATATTTAATTTTTGGTCCAGTTACCATTTAGATTGATGAAGTTTAGGAATTATATCATCTAGGCTGGGTGCAGTGGCTCATGCCTATAATCCCAGCACTTTGGGAGGCCAATATGGGTGGATCACGAGGTCAGGAGTTCAAGACCAGCCTGGCTAAGATGGTGAAACCCTGTCTCCACTAAAAATACAAAAAATTAGCCAGGTGTGGTAGTGGGCGCCTGTAATCCCAGCTACTCAGGAGGCTGAGGCAGGAGAATCACTTGAACCCAGGAGGCAGAGGTTGCAGTGAGTCGAGATTGTGCCACTGCCCTCCAGCCTGGGTGATAGAGCGAGACTCCGTCCCAAAGAAAAAAACAGAATTATATAATCTGTTTTTACTTAAGTACATTTTCATTTCCTGGAACAAAATTTAGTTTAGTGGCTCCTTACTTGTTAAATAATATTTAAAGACATCTATGTTAGGTATTAAAACACATTTTCTTATATAGTATAAATATATGAATTTTTAATCAAATTCTTGTTGCCAGAATCCCATAATTTTAGTATTTGCTTTGTGATTGTCACTTTGAATATTGAAATTTGATAAGTTTACTGTTTGATTTATATTATATGTTTGAGAAAATATAAAAATATGAATATTCTAAAAACTATCTTGCAAGTCTATAAAAATGGAAAAAGTAGTATATGTATTTTATTTAGTGTACATATAATGTTAATTGAACATATAATGTTTAAGGTGATTTTCTGTCTTTGAAAGTGACTTTGAATTCTGGTTGTGGTGTTAGTAGAGACAGGGTTTCACCATGCTGGCCAGGCTGGTCTCGAACTGCTGACCTCGTGATTGCCCACCACGGCCTCCCAAAGTGCTGGGATTACTGGCATGAGCCACCGCGTTTGGCCCGAATTCTGGTTGTATAAATATTTTTTTTCATGGCTAATTAGCTTCCTATATAAGAAAAATATTTTAATTTTTGTGTTCTTTGATTTAGGTAAAAACTCAACTGTACAGTATTTTTCTATGCCTTTAAGATTTATATATTGGAAGTTTTTAAATTTTTATATATTAGAGCTTCTAATGTTAGATAGAATAGTAAAGTTTGATAACTGTAGTTAAAAATGTCATTGGACTTGATTTCTAAAGATTTCCCTGCCCTTTATGAATAGATGTACCTTGGTGAAGTCACTTAACCTTTCTGAGAGTCACCTGTAAAATCCAGTTGCTTTGAGTATTGAGCGAGTTCAGGTAGATGACAGTGTGTCTTGCACTCTGACTTACCATATGTGTGTGTAGTGGATGCTGTGCCATACTGCCCAGATTCCCTTTCAGGGAATCCGAGACACCCATCCCCCTCTGTGCCACTGCCACAGCTACATCCTTCTTAGATAATTACCCTCAGGGTAAAGGAGCTGCTTCTCCCAAGATTAGGCTCCCACCCTCAGGGCAGCCTGCATCCAACATTTGGTTGGTACACAGATGCAAAGGCATGTCCCCCTTGCCTTGATTCTGGACAACCTTAAGTGCCTTCCCGACTCTAGAGCTTCCACCAGAGGCTTTTGTTGCAACTGCATCACAGTTCAACTCACCCTGCCCATCTGCCCATTTTTTTCCACTCATTCCCTCACCAGCGCTGGAGAGAGTTCTCAGTAAACTTCCTGCAGGCAAACCTTGGTCTCAGAGTCAGTTTCAGGGAACCCCAGTTCAAGACAACATGTAAGTTAACCTTATATATTAATTATGTGTTTAATTATGTTCACCTGAAATATGCCAGATAGTTTTGTGTGGCTATTTTATATTCCTTTCCTTCACCAGACCTCTAGTAATAAATCCTGTCACAGTACAGCCAACCAACTTTGGCAACACACTGCAGTGTCATTTTTCTATTATTGCCTCTTGACAGCATTGCATCCTGAGGCATTTTGAAGCTTAGGTGTTTGGCCTTCTGCTCACGCACGGAAGAGCTTCCTGGGTGGTCTGCCAGTGGTTATGGAGAGTTTGGGAACCTGCTGCTCCCCCATAGCTAGTTCTTAACCAGACTTATAGCATTAAAGGCCTGATAATAGTACTGAGCTAGGCCTTGCACGAGTCCTTAGATAGATGTCATAAGTGATTCCAGGCAAGCTCATCAAAGAACCACATTGGCTCATAACTGCCCATTCAGGTCAGCTTTCTTCATATAGTTTAAGTTTCCCTGTATAGTTTAAGTCACTGTCTCTAAAATTAAAATATTTTTAGTACTTTGTTGACATTTTTAGGCCTTCACAAATACTCCACGTGAACAGTTATATTTACATTGATTTATTTACATCCATAAATGCAAACATGTTTCTGAAATATTAGCCTACCTACAAAGTTTATTTCCCAGTCCTGCTAATAAACAAAAAAGCAAATAGCATAACTCTGAATGGACAACAGAAACTGCCCATTTCTCACCATGTCAATTGTTAATACTCTGGTTTGAGCCAATGTCACCCTGGCTTCGGATTGCCTTTGCCTCCTACAGTCTACTCTCAAGGCAGCAGCCATAATGATCCTTTCAAAAATGTGTTAGGAAGACAGATCCTTTTACTACACTATTCGAAACCCTGCAACAATTCATTCTCTACCCCTTATCTCTCTGATTTCTTATTTACTTTCTCTCCCCATCACTCTGCTCCAGTCACACCAGCTTCCTTTCAGTTCCTGGAACATACTGGACACGTTCCTGTCTTATTTCATTGCTCTGGCAGCTCCCTCTGCATGCAGTACTCTTCTCCCAGTTGTCTGTTGGGCTCTTTTACCTCTAAATCTTTGCGCAAATGTTGTCTCTCTTTGAGGCTTATCTGGATCACCCATTTCATGTGATGACCAGCACATCCATCACACTCGTTGATCCCAGGCCTGTATCTCCTGCCCTGCTGTAATTTTTCTCCTTTACACCACCTTTTCCCTTACACGGGGTGCATTTACCATGAGCTAATGAAACCTAAGCTTCATGGCCCCTTCCCTGCATAATTCCTGTAAAATTTGCAAACTTAATATATTTTAAATTTAATAGTTGTCTCTTTCCACTTCAATTTCTTTTCTTTCATACCCTCTCTTGTACCATATGATGTTGAATGACTGCAGACATTTTTATTGAGGTATGACTGAAGAGAAATTGAGTTAGGGATACATTGAATTTGGGTACAGAGGAATCTAGTTAGTGTTTTGCTGTCACTTCTCTATAAATTCAGTTAGTGCTAGCCATTTTGGTATGGAAAGAGCTTCCAGGAAGACAGTTACTGCCTGTTGACCCAATAGTATACTGTCTTCTGATTGGTGCACTAAAGTGCCTGGCACCAAATGTATGTGAGTGGGAGGTGGAAGAGAAACATGGTGTGAAATTAACAGAGCCAATTAATTGGTAGAAAATTTTTTCACATTTTACAGCTCATATTTTAAAGAAATCTGATTGAGGTTTTTCAAAATTTGGCATGAATCCTAAAGTTTTAATGGAAATGGCTAATAAAGTTGTAATGCCAAAAGAAACTTCTAATCAAGAATAAAATAATTGTTTTTGATTAATCATGCTAGGGATAATGCCAGATTATCTTCCTGTTCTCTGTATAGAAAATGTTACAGAATTACTATATGAAGAGGCGATCAAAGACAATGCAGCAAAAATAAATGTGCTTTGGATAGTTGATGAAAATATCTTGTGACTTTTTCAGAATTTTTAATGTTTTTGCTATGTATCAGCTTTTTAATGTGTGTAAGTTGTTTTCTTATTCTGAGTAGTTCATAACTAGTTTTGCATTAGTAGTTTTGCATTGTTTTTGTTAAAGAAGACCCACCAAATTGAATAAACTTCAGGTCTTACAAGATGCAGGCGTATCCTGAATATGCTATATGATGTACTTCGTTTGTGTTCTGCTTATTGTTTATCATCGGCCCCTCCCTCTAGTCCAGCAGAGGGTAAACATATTGAGAGCGGGAATCTTAGTTGACTAATGCTTTTTAAGTACCTTAACAGTGCTTGGCACAGAGTAGGCACTCAATAAGTATTTGTTGAGTGAATGAATTGACATTACAATGAAACTTGGGTGTTAATCTAATTTAGTTTAGCTTATGAAAAGTCAATATTGACATGAAGGAAATTAAAAAGGTTGGTGCATAGAAAACACTGTCTTGAAACTGTATTTTGTGTGACTAAGGGCATAGAAATAAATTCCTATTTCTAGATGTTTCTTCAGTAGTCATTAGCTGCTGTGTTTTTCAACAGGATCTGTATCATTATTTTTTAGGTTCTATTAACTTATTCCTTGGGACCCATGGCTAGCCTCAGCTGGCTTTCTGCATTATCCCCCTCTAAGGGTGAGAATTTAATTTAGAGCTGTAGGGAGGTGAGGCCATGCAGAGAACCACTGGGAAGCCAATACAGCAGCCGATTTTTCTTAAGCCAAGAATTGGGCAGTAGGAAAATAAAGGTAGACTATTTTTTATTTTCCTGTATCTAAGTCAATTATAGAAACTCTGTCTTTAGAGAACTATCTTTGCTTAAACATTGGGTATTAGAAATAAAAATATTCCTCATGCAAAGGAGGAATAAGTAAATAAACATATTTGTGTGTGTATATATATTGCATTTTAAAATAGGCATATTAATATATAGCTTAAAATCTAGAGCTGAGCTTTCAGAAAAACAGAATCTCATAAGATTTCAGTATGGAGAATTTTTAGGTTTCTGGACACACAGTGAAAACACATTATAGGTATGACTAGTGGAGGGCAACCTCCCTTCACTTAAACATCTAAACATTTATATAACCACTAAAACATCTTTTTTTTTTAGTGCCCTTGCAGGATTTGCAGAGGTCATAGCCAATTTTTATTTTTATTTTTGAGAACACTTTTCTGGACATAGAAGGGAAGCCTTATTATCTATCAGTACTGAAGAAAGTAGTGAGCTAATGAAGGTGTTAGGTGTTGACAAGACCTCTCTGCTTTCTCAGTTTAGCAGTTAGCACTTGGCGCTGCTATTTTTCCAGAATATAATTTGCTGCACTCTGACTCCATGTCTAGCAAGTCTCGACAAAGGAACATCAATAAGTTCTCCAAACTGAGCTTTTGTCAGCACTAACCTTGCAGAATACATGCCACCGAGAATTGTGACCTTCACTGTTAAATTTCTCCGTTGCTTAAGCATTTTATTCCAAAGTTGAGCCCTGAAGAGATTATTAGGACAGTAAGAGTCTTTTCCCACATTATTTTCTTAAGTTTGCAGGCAGAAGTTGGGTCTACAAGGTTCCTTGGAAAAGTAGATAAATTTTTTTAAACTCAGAATTGTGTCTTTACTCAGGATTATTACTTAAAAATAATCGCCACTGAGAAAAGATACTGTGGGGCATGGAATATCAATGTACCAAGGCTGAGAGTTGTAGTGTCTCTACTGTACTATCACTCAATGAATATCACTGACTGGAATGAAACCTACAATTCTTGACATTATTACTCTTTTTATTTTTCTCTTTTTATGTCTAAAGGCTGCAGAAGTGTTATTGAAGCACATTATTTCCAAAACCAGGTTGAAACTAATTAAATAAATGTCAAATTTTCTCAAAAAATATTTTTAAAAAATGGTTTTAAAAATTTTTAAATAAGTATTCTCCCAAATTATTTTCTCTGGAAATAGCACTAGAAATAAATAAAATGGGTCTGCTGATGTGATGGGCATATCAGAGAGGAAGAAAAGAACTTTTGAGAAAAAAAAAATAAAAAGCAGGGGTTTAAATTATTCATCAGGCCCTCTCTCAGCTGCTTCCTTTCTTGCCTGGTGAATGGCACACCCCACATGATCCTCAGTGTGGCTGAAGGGGTGGTGTTCACTCTGGTGAAGCCATCCTGTCGGGACTGGTTATTCAGATCCTTTTAACCAGAATGTTTGCTAGCATTTTTTTCCCCCAGCGAGTGTTACATAATGCAATGTTATGAATTTTATCTCTGTTCTCAACAACTTGTTGGATATATGCACTCAAAATTGATGACTTTCATCGTACTGTTATGCAATAAATCTGTCAGATTAAATTTCCTTTTAGTGAGCCAAAAGATGAGCTGAACACTGATATATTTAAGTGTAAACCAAAGTATAAATATTCCTCACATTATTTGTGATTTTATGAAGAATAAGATGTGCTATTAATTGGTTATTAGTTGACTTTTTTTTGGCATTTGCTTCATTTAAGAATCTGCTGTGGTCAGTGATTCCTTCTTGAATGTTCACATTTTCTTCTATTATAAGATTGTAGGGTATGCACTGAAACCAAAGGAGAAGCAGGAGACTTCTTCTTTTTAGTGCTGTTTATTTCCATTGCCAATTACTTACTTGCATGTGTTTATACAGTCAGTCCTTTCTTTGCACACTTCCCATGTGCACAATTTTCAATTGACATGGTCCCGTGAAGAGGGAGGACTGCCTAAATTTATCTATGTGTGTATGAATATATGTATGTCTGTGTGCATGTATTTATGTGTTTATTTTTCAGGTATTTGAAAATGGTAAAAACACTGGAGAGATCTCTGTTTGTATCAGTAAAAAAGATTTGGGATCTGATAGCCCAATTCAACCTGATGATATGATGGAAAGAGTGAGTTTTCTGACAATTTACTTATGACTTTAAGTGTCTTGCAAGTTACTTGTATCTAATTTAGACAGTTACATCTTAAGGTTGTTTGCAGAAGATCAATGGTTTGTTGATCTGCAAAGACTGATATTGCAAAGATTGACTTCTGAATTTCTTAGGCTTTCAGCTTTAGCATAGTGTTAACTCCTGGACTCCATACCTAAGTTTCTTAAGCTTCATCATGCTTATATTTGGAATCCGTCTATACTGAGCCCTAGTTTTGATACATCAGGATTTCCCTCTTTTTCACAATTTTTAAAAAAGTAAAAGATATGCCCTGGGTCTAGGTTATTCCTAAACCCTAGATTCTGAGTAATTAGCATGCAGCCTTGGTCTTCTCCCATGCTCATTGTGAGCAAGTCCAGCTTCTTTTGCTCACATCTTTGGCACTCTTACCTTTTTCTGTTTTCCAGACAACTGGGATGTTTCTCAGGCAGAACCAACATGTTCAGGGTCTTTATTTTGGGTCTTTGTCTTGCATAAAAAGGACACACACTGAACAGCCTGTTGTTTACAAATTGGGGTTATGCACCCGAGTGCACACCAGTGTTTTGGGCTCTGTTGCCTTGCCTTTGTTCAGTAACTTGTTCCCTTTTTCTCCCTTCAGTTCAGCATCCTCAGATTTACCTCTCCTGGTGGTATCCATTACCTGGCTTTTACAGCCAATCAAAAAAGTTGCATATGAATTGGGATGCTCTCATTGGATCATTAGCTGGACCTGGAAGAGAGGAAGAAATGCTACTTTGATTAGAGAGAGAAGGATCCAGAGCCTTGCCTGGTTTCTTTTTACTGTAACATAACTGATTATACAAATCACTATGACATAAAGGCCTTGATAGGGTTTTTCACCTGTCACCCCTCTTTTTACATTAGAATATTTTACTATTGAGTTCGTGTTAAAATTGAAGATGGCATTTATATTATCTTATACAGGAAGATATTAAGCTGGGCATGGTGGCTCATGCCTGTAATCCGAGCACTTTGGAAGGCTGAGGCAAATAGAACTCTCGAGCTCAGGAGTTTTGAGACCAGCTTGGGCAACATGGCAAAACCCTATCTCTACAAAAAATAAAAAACATTAGCCTGGCATCGTGGTGCATGCCTGTAGTCTCAGCTACTCAGGGCTGAGGTGGGAAGATTGCTTGACCCTGGGATGACAAGGTTGCAATCAGCTGAGATCCCACCACTGCACTCCAGCCTGGCGACAGAGTGAGACCTGATCTCAAAAAAAAAAAAAAAAAAAAAAAAGGAAGATACTATTCTATAGAAACTTTTTTGTGTTGACTTATAGCACACAGAAATTGAGCTATGCTGTGCTTCTGTATGTGATAAATCTGGGGCAAAAACATTAATTAGGAACATTATAAAGCTCTTTGGGAGAGCCCTTGTGACACCACCCATGGACAGCTGCTCCCTTGTGTGGACACTTGTCTCAATCACTAGCCTAAGATGTTTCACACTCTTTTCAGATTCTTGAACAAATTCTTATCCTATAAAGGCCTGGTGATGATAGCTTTAAAGATAAATGGGTGAAGATTATCACAATGTTTGGTTGCCACTGCAAAGCCCTAACCAATGACCTAAAGATGAAGGGCACAGAGGCCCTTGCCTCCTGTAGATTGTTGAATGCTCTTGCAGTCTGTCACCAACTTGAGAAAATAGAGATTGCAGTGCAACTCCTGTGAAAGTGAATTTGGTTAAGTGGTCAGGCGCTCCCATCGCATGTCTACCTTACATCCCTGTTCTTTGTGCACTGATTTCTTTCCTGGATCAGGCCTTAAATCTTTTGTATCATTCCTCTTTATAAAATGGTGATGCCTGTAAAGCAAAATCTCTGTGATTTAAAAAGTGATCAGCATAACATGTTTTCTGAAATAATAGAAAAGCAACAAAAATAAGCTCAAGGGCTGAGACTACACAAAAATAAATGTAGGGCTTTGGAAATATAGTCTATAGATTTCAAAATATATTTGCAGTTTCAATGGAAAAATAACCAAGGCAATGTAGATTTTTACCGTTCTTACACCTTTGCCTCTTAAACACCTAAAGAGGAGAGTAATTATCATTTTTAATTCAAAGGAATTGGCTATGCTGGATGAGGACTATTTACATTAGTGAAAGAAAGTGTCATTATTTCTAGCCTTTTCAATGCTCAAGACTAAAAATCTTCAGCTAATGAAAACGCTGAAGTTGGAGATACTGTTATGTATCTCTAACTAGGACAATGCCTAATTCTTAGGTCCTATGCATGTAGTTGCACGTCGAAGGGAATATTTGCTCAGTCAAGAGTTTACAGCCAATCAGTGAGACACCTGAGATGCATGGCAGACCTTCAACTTTACCTTCTTTCCTCAGAGCCTCAGCATTTAGCACTTCTCAATATACCCGCAATGGGAATTAATAGAGGAGCAAAAAAGAAAAGAAAAAAAAGGACTCTATTAATGGGAATTAATAGAGGAGCAAAAAAGAAAAGAAAAAAAAGAACTGCAGTTAGGCCAGTAGAGACCACAGCTATATCCACAACCCTGCCGAGATTACAGAGTAACAAGAAATCGTGAGACACAAGAACTGACAAGGAAGAGATGAAAAGGAAGCCCATGACAGAAGACTAGGGGAAGAGTGATGGATAGGGTGGAGTGCAGAGCAGGAAAGAGCAGAGGTGAAACACTTAAACAAAGCTGACAGAAGATAATGAAAAATGCCTTTAAAAATACCACATATAGCACACTTCTGTTAGATTTACTTTATATTTTAAACGTCCCCTAAATTAGAAATGTCTTGATAATTTAGAGATTCTAAACGCAAGATGGAAGCAAACAATGACAATGCTATTATTTTAAATATTAAATGACAGCTTTCCATACCTCACACTTCAATGATGTCTTACAACTTAAAAACATCCATTGTTGAAGCTGTTCACAAGCTATTTCAGGGTTCATAATTAAAATGCATCTAGAAAGAGACCTTTGTAAATGAACCAACTTACATGAAAAGTCATTTTAATTTTTGCAATTCTCCTATTATTAGTTACCTGAGATTTCTTGGGGACAGGGAGACTGGTGATTGTAAAACTTGAACGTGGTCTGGAAGTCCCCTAACAAAATATGTAGTTCAGACAAGAAAAGTATATAACCCTTATCAAAGAGGACCTTTACCATGTGTAGAAGCTAAATGCTCTTTCTGTAAAACTGCCACATCTGCCTTCAGGCCCCGTGCCAAAGGGTCAGAGCTCAATCACAAGCCTGTGGCACCCCCTGCTGGTTAAAAGCTCATGCTCATTTTGTTACTTTACACTGAGCTAAACATTGCCGTCATTTCACACTTCTTTTAACATTCTATATGAATTTAATTATCATTTATTTGAACTTCATTTGTTACAGAGTAGAGACAGTTTATTACAGATGTTCCCATTTTAGGTTATTTATTCTTCTTTATCCCCTCTGCCCCGCCCCGCCCCCAACCAGTTCCGTCTCAAGATTCATCAAAGGCTTCACAGGTTCTTGCATCAACCCACCAGGCCTCAATTTTTCTTCAATGCGGCTTTTTGATGAGAATGGTCAAGAAATTAAGAATCCACTTTTGCTGAAGAATGAGCAAAAAATTTGGGTCTCTTATGGTAGAGCATACAGGTAGGAGCAAAGGGTTTGTTTTCTGTCCTCAATCTTTCCAGGGGTGAGCTAATTTGAAAGGAGATTTGAGAAGCCAAGTAGCACCCTTTATAAAACATTTTTAAAAATTTTGAATTCCAATAAAATTTCAGAGGTGTTTTTGCAAGGCAGTATTGTTTGTGGAATATGACATCTCTTTCTCTCTTTCTCTCTCTCTCTCTCTCTCTCTGACTTTCTGTCTTAATGCCTTGTCATAGTTCTTGAAGTCTGCCTGTCAGCACAGCAAGAGGGATTTGTTCATGTCTGAGTAGTCACCTTAATGATAGCAGATGGAAACGCCACGGGGGGCCCAAGCCCATCACACTGTCATTGTCGCACACTGCCCTGACCTGCTTCCACTCCTCTATTTTTTTTGTCCCTTTTTAAAGGAGAAATGGATGGTAATTGAAAAGGATCTTAAGCAAGATTTATGAAGCTGTAGACAACATGATTCCCCTCTATCTCTCTATGTTTTCACAAATAAAGTCTTAACCTTTTAAGCACCAATGACAGGACAGCTAAAGATAAATTGGTAAAGCTTGTAAGCCCTGTCCTATCAAAGTTATATTCCTCAAAAGCACCTTACATTATCCCACAATAATTACTGGTTATTGCGGAGCATTGTGTAAATTTTTGTAGATTGGTAAATTCCTGCATACAATTATCTGCGTTTCTGAAGAAAGAAAAAGGCTACAGTATACAGGCACTGATGAGCTGGGCTGTTGTGTTCAATATCTTGGAAATATATGCATATTTTGACAGGACACATCCAGATGAACTCTGAAACTGCTTGTCAGGAAACTTAAACATACTTTTCTGCCTATTTTTAATTTTTCTTAGCTTATTAGCTGTAGAACAGAATAAGGGAAAGTAATTTTTCATATACAGTATAACTAATCATATATTAACTATAATGAAAATAGCGTAAGTAAACCTAAATCTTAGCAAAGCAAGGACTGATTGGATTTGCTACATGTTCAAATAGTTAAAATTTCAAATAGTGAAACAAATGTACTAAGAAATCCATGAAGAATTTGGAAGAAGTGGCTAGAATAAGTTGTGTTTCATGTTACAAATTTTATTTCATCTGTCCTAGTAAAATTAAAATGCTTAATGATTTCTTATGCTGTGTAATTTATAGAATTAAGAAATCTGTAAGGAATGGAATGGTAAATTTTTGTCCATAGATAAATTTCAGAATATAATTTCATTACATTATAAGTAGAATTGTTTTTACAATGATAAAAACTGATGAATTTTAAAGAGGCAAGAAATCTTGAATAATCTAGTAAGCTCTTCCAATTACAAGGATAGGCTTTCATAAAATGTGTCATTATTCTTTTTAATATTATTGTCAAAATGAAAGTAATGACTCATTAATTTTGATACTTTTAATAACATTTGCTATCATACAGCATTTTAATAATTTTAAACACATGTTCTTGGCTAATTGGATCATATTTGTGGAATAACTGGTAAAATGCCAAAAATCTGAGGTATTCTAAAAGGCACCTGAGAACTGTAGCTGAAGAAATTTACCAGTGCATATATTTATTTGTATTTCATTGTGATTTTAACACTGTAATGTATTTTTCTGGTTTCCAATCCAACATAAAGCACCAGGAAACCATTACAGCTTTTTGCTACCATGGGAATGTTTAAAATGTATGTATCTAAAAAGTTATTGCCATTTAGGTTGAAATTTATTGAGAAAATATGCAATATATACCAAGTAAATGGCATTCATTTTCAGTAGGTAATTCTACTGTGTCTAACTTATGTCGATATGAGGGGGTCAAGCTACTCATTTGTAAAAGATGAGTTTTGCCAATGTCTGCTTCTATTTTGAATACTCTATTTTTCCTTCAAATTTTTATTTTGAAAAATTTCAAATCTAAGAAAACTTTTAAAGAGTTTGCCACATTTGTTTTCCTCTTTTATATCGTCTCTCTCTCTCTCTCTCTGTCTCTCGAACAGCTTGAAAGCAATTCCGGACATTAAAATTTCATTCCTAAATGCTTCAGGTCACATAACTGAAAAAGAGTTATGTGTCACCACATTATAATATCTAACACAGTCAACAGTAGTGTAATATCTTCTAATAGACACTCTATATTCAAGCTAACCAAAACATGCTTTAGAGCTCTTTGTAATCCAGTATCCAAATATGCTTCTTTGTATTATATTTTCTTTAGTTCTTTTTAATCTGGAATATCCTCTTAATCTTTTGTTTTGTTTTTCATGACATTAACTTATTTTTCAAGAGTTCAGGCACTTTTCTTGTAGAATGTCCCATATTCTGGATTTGTCTGAGTTTTTTCTCCTGATTAGATTCAGTTTAAATATTTTTGGCAACAAGACTACACAGGTGATGCTGTGGATTTTTAATTCTAGAGATAAATAGCAAGTCTTTAGTAATTTAGAGAAAAATGGCTCATAGTTGACAATAGTGGCCATTTTTTTAAAATCTGTTTTTGATTTTAATTTCCAAATCACCTAAAACAGTGTGCTTAACAATATGTAATATGAAAATCGAATCAGCATCACATTTAGTGAGCTCACAAAAAATGGTTGTTAGTAGCCAAATATTGAGAATTCATTTAATTATCAGCTCCTAAAATTACTATAGATGTATGGGATTACTGTTAATCATGGAAAATGAACATTATATGAATGATGATTGTTTTTTCTCAACTAAATACTTTGCTTTAATTATTGCAATTATTTTTTTAATTACGTATGTTGAAATTATTTTGGCATATTATAGATCAGCTAAATAAACTGAAGTATATATTTCAGGTGTTAATATAGAATACCAGTTATATAATAGGAAATTCACTTATTTCTGTGTTTTATTAGACACTGATAATGTGTGTTTTATTGCTTATTTGTGCTCAGATGTCAGTGTATATATAATTTTGAAGACAGTTTCGAGTTTTTCCATTTTTTAGATCTGCACTAAACCTTGCTTTGGGTTTGACGTTTGATCGAGTGAGTGCATTTGCCAGAGGTGACATCGTGGTTGGATATATGCCCTTTTTGGATCCTAATGCTGTTCTGCTACCTGGATGTGGCAAATAAATTAACAAGTAATCTTATTAAAGATGTGGTTAAGGTAATCCAAATCACTTAATTCAGGATTTTTCAGAGTGAGAGATTCGAAACACTAAAAGATGCTCTTTCGATTGTCTTAAATAAGCAAGTTTTTATTGACTTATTTCATGGCATAATGAGGTAGTGCCTAAAAGACTTATTAACTTCCCTTAGTTTTAGAAGACCATATGGGTCCATGAGCAGAGTATAGTTTCTGCTTTGCAGAAACAACAATTGTGCTTGGAATGGAAAAGCTGTTTTTAGTGGTTATTTCTAAATTAATCATTTTAAATGGAATTATTAAAATGTAAAATATGTTCTCTGTGTGAGTGTTCATATTCAAACATCTTATCTGATGATGATACATTTAGAACAAAAGCAACCTTCTGGGGACTTGTTGGGACAGTGAAGAGGAGGAGTTAGGAGATCTAAGGAGGCATTTTGCTTCATCTCTGCTCCTGATTGTCCAGGAGCAGATTGGTGTCAGTTTCTTATCTGAATATAATATAAAGTGGCTTTTACTGACTGTTGACCACAGGCCAGGCACAGTTACAAATTAATTGGGTAAGAATCAATTTAATCCTCACAAAAATTATCTTAATCCTATTATTCAGTATTACTCTAACTCCATTTTTCAGAGACAGAAACCAAGGCACAAAGAGAGAAATAATTTGTCCAAAGTCACACAGCTGTTACCTGGTAGAGTCAGGATTCTAACCCAGATCATTTGTCTTAAGTACCTGAGTGCTTAACCACTATTCAGTGCCATCTGATAAAACTTTCTGTGATGACGGACACACAGTTTGTGACTATTGAGCATTTGAAATGTGACTAGTATGAATGCAAAACTGAATTTTAAATTTTGTTCAAGTAAATTGGTAGCTGGTGACTACCATATTGGACATTGCAGAAGATCCTATTTTGGATTAGGTAATCTATCTATAAGGTCTCATCTAGCTTAACAATCTTATAATTTAACAAATTATAGCTCTCCTTAATAAGAAGTTGAAAATGCTGAAGTAGAAGGTGTATACAGAGAACCAAAAGCAGTCTGATGAGTTCACTCAGTTCAGCCAGTGACAACCTATTGCTAAATAGGTCTAGAGGGACATACTCATTGGTAATTGTTTAAATAACAGCTTTATTCCCCAATGACTGCTGGTACTTTCTAGGCAAGATTTGAACCTGTTTCTTTATAGATAAAAAGTAAGTCATCAGCATTCTTTTTACAGACATTTTCTGTTTATAAGAGAATTTAATTTGCCTGCAATAATCTTTCCCCAAGCTGTTAACTTGCCTCAACTCTTTCCCTTGCATTTTTAGCCAGGAGTTTACATTTTCAATTCATAAAGTCCTTCTTAATTTCACTTCCTCAAGTGAAATAAATACTACTTTATTAAATTTATTCACATTAGATCTAGGTCCCTAAGTATAACAATGTGAAACTGCCTTTACTGAATGCAACCTAATTTTGTTAGATAATTTACTTAAGTTCTACACTCCATTTGGATTTTCTTTCTATACTCTAAAAGTGGATTATTTTATATCTTGATAATCCTATTCTTATTTGTATTTCTCAGAGTGTTGACAGAAATTGCTATTACCAGTTCAAGGACTTGTTTCTGTTGAATGACATGCTGCATAGTATGTCCTAACATATCTGTGTTGAGCCAGGTAGTGTTTTTTAAGATAAGAATTGGGTCACTTTTAAGATAAATGATTTGGCTGAACTAAGAAGAAAACTCAGAGTCTCTAGTTTGTGGTTTTTGCATATACTCAATAAACTGTAATGGCTCCTGAGTCTCTCTTGAAATTACAAGACTAGCATGTTTAAACATTGTAAGTATAAAAAGATTCTTTGTTAGTCATAATCTAGTGTATTTGAAATATAAATTTAACAAGAATATGGTCTCCACTACAAGTAATTTTGTAAGGGTAAAAGTCATTTTTGTTTCTTTCGTCTACTAATAATTAATTAGACATGGAATCCTCCCATCGCATAAATAATTGTCAGATAAACTTATAAAGTCTTACCTTTACCAATTATAGATAGCAAGGCACTACACAAATCTGTATTACAAAGATTGCAAACTATGCTTTTTTTTGATTAAGAGTATAAGATGTATAAATTATTAGTAATAGAGTATGCTCAAAGAGTAAAGAGTATTATGATTAAAGATTAAAGAATATTGTAATTAAATGCATAGTGTTCTAATAAAAATAATTACATATTTTTCTTTTCTTAATTGGGAAGTTTGTGAGGGATTTCCAATTAACTTCAACTGTACCAGTCAACAGATACCTGACCAGTTTGAAAAGGTGGACTTGGAGAACCATTTCCAACAAAATAAGGTCAGATTTTAGTAATTGTACCTTCAAAGGTGCGCTTCATGCATTGGACATTCAGCTGACGTAAGATGGATATTTGTGACAGTATTTTCTTTTTTTTTTTTTTTCTGAGATGGATTCTCACTTTGTCATTCAGGCTGGAGTGCAGCTGGGTGATCTTGGCTCACTGCAGCCGCTGCCTCCTGGGTTCAAGGGCCTCTTCCGCCTCAGCATCCCGAGTAGCTGGAACTACAGGCATGCACCACCACGCCTGGCTAATTTTTGTACTTCTAGTAGAGATGGGATTTTACTATGTTGGCCAGGCTGGTCTCAAACTCCTGACTTCAAGTGATCTGCAAACTTTGGCCTCTCAAAGTGCTGTGATTACAGGTGTGAGCTATGGCTCCTGGCCTGTGACAGATTTTTAAACTATAAATTATTTTTACAAATGTTGGGGCAGGTGTTATTCTTTACTTCCTGTTAATTAACCAGGCACTTCAAAACTGAAACAATATATACTATTCCTACTTGAAAAACTTCTACCTGATTCATGTTATTTAAGCCTTATTGTTTGGCATATTTTATTTGTACTACTAATAGCTATAATAAGTTGGAGTTATTTGAGGAAGTCTTCAAGATGGTTGCTATCTCTATAGTGTAGGATCTGATCTATCTGCTTTATAGGTCAATGAATCTGAGGAACACAAGTTCTTTAGGAAACTTAACTCATGGCAACCCAATCCAGAAGGTCCATATCAATTTACACTTAGAAGTTTATCTTTCCAGTAAAGAAGATTTTTTTCCTCCATCTAAATTATGAGAGGTGTTTTAAAGCTGTTTCCAAAGAAGGAATAATTCTTTTGTTTTTCTTAGCTGGCAAACTCTGTGTACAGTAGTTGCTCATTTTAGCTGTATAAGCTTTAGTTTTTGAACACATGAAATCAAAATCAAAAGTCACTCACAGAGAGCAGACCAAAGAAAGTAGGACTTCCTATCAATTAGGCCCTTTATTTCCAAGAGTTAATGCAAGAGACACATCGCCACACCTGCTCTTTTTAAATTTCTTTATGCTACCCATTCAGTTTCTCAATTATTCAATTATGTCAAAATTTAAACTGAAAATATTGGTTATTTCAAGGAGCAAATCGATCTAAATAGCATAGTTTTCAAAATAGAATCAAATATTTCTAATTCTACCTGGTTTTGAGCAAATTTAGAAAATTAAAGTAAGTAGAATGGTGTGCTCATTAATGTCTTTTGTATTTTTACCTTAATCTGACATTAGGATTTATTTACTGTAGGTCGGATCCTGTTGGCATTCCTTGTTAGTTTTTTTTGCTGCAGCATTATTTTCTTGCTCAAAAAGCATGTACGCTTGGCTGTTGCCTTTTGAAGTTCCAAATTTTCATCTGGACTTCATTGATCTCCATGATTCTCCTCTAATCTGCCTTCACTCCCAACTTACCTTTCTAATTTTCTCTTCTTCTTGCTCCTCCGTATACTCTAAATACAGTCAGAGCTAATAAATTGTGTACCATAACATGCTTTCCACCTTTGTATACCTGTGCCATGCCTTGTGTTGTTCTTTGCCTGGGGTATTCCCCCAGCCATTACCATTACTTGCTTCTTAAGGCTTTACTCAACAACCTCTTCCATAAAGCATTCTCAGATACACGGGAAAGAATTCATCTTTATTTTGTATTCTCAGGACTCCTTATTTTCATTTGAAAGTTGTGTTGAGTTTGTGTTTTGATATAGGTATTTGCTTTTATGTTTCCTTTCCACTAAACTGAGGATTCTTTGGGCGCAGACATTGTCTTACTCTTCTTTGTATTCCTAAGCACTAAGACAAAGTCTTCAATGTAGGGCAAATGCACAATACATTTTTGGTGAATGGATTTTTTTGTTTGCTTGTTTAGCCATTACCTGTCTTGCAAGGCCGAATATTCTCTAATATGGTCTTTGGGTGATAGCTGAGCCAGAATGTTGTTTGTTGTTTTCTGAAAGCACTCCCTGATTTCTGTTGTTATGCCCATGTACACCTCTTTGACTAGAATTCCACCCTTCTTTTTGTGTCACCACACCCAGCCTTCTCTGTCACCCTTGTGCCATATCCTAGCACAGAGTTTGGCATATTCAATAAATGCTATTAAAATCCTGCCCATCATTCTACCCCTATCTGATTTGTGACTGCTTCATGAAATGTTTCTTTACCCAAACCCCATTTCCCAACCAGATGTGACAATTCCCCTTTGCACCATTTATAATGATGTTGAACTAGATGCTGTTCCTCTTACAACTTCTTTTTGCATGGCTCAAAATCAATTAGGCTCCAAGTTTGGGCATATTTCAGGTTACATCAGGGTAAATGGGAGAGAATGGGAGGTTCTTTTGGGGATGTTAGGATCAGATTATGAAGGGTCTTAATTCAATATTAGGGAATTCTGGTTGTTCTGTAGAAAGCAAGGAGCCATTGGAAGTATTTGAGCAGAGACAAGATGTGATCCGATCTTCGTATTGGGAAGATAATTCAGGAAGTCCTTGTCTTATCCTCCCTGCTAGATTAAAACTTTCTCAAAGGCAAAGGGTATCCTGATCATCTCTGTTTCTGCTGCAGTATCTAGATGTTTAGTTAGCAGACCTGTATTGAATTTACTAGTCAATTGATTAATTCAACAGAGACCAACTCAAACCTAAAAAACAATTGGATATCAAAGAGATATAAGAGGAAAGGAACCCAAGGAGGCTTTTCTCTTTGTTTTTATGTCAAAGTGGGATAACTATAATAAGATAACTATATTTTCTAAAGTGTTGAAGAATGAGAGAATAACAGTCCACAGTTATTTTATCATTAAATGGTTCTAATGATTTAGTAAAAATGAGAAAACAGTCATCTTAAGTAAATGTTTATATGCTATGGCATTGTTAGCTTTAAAAACTTTAGTTCAACAAAAATAGTAGAAAGCAAAATTGTAAGAAAGCAAAAATTTGATAAATTGGCTAGTAAAAAGAAGCTTTCAAAGACAAACAGCTCTTCCATAGCTGTGAAGCCTCTAAAATCCTTTCAGAAAAATGTCTCCAATTATTTACAGAGTGGTAATCAGTCCATTGGGAATGGTAATTTAATAACCTGAAAAGGAGCACTTTTAAAGATGGATTCAGGCAGAGGTGATGGATATCTGTTGGGCATTTTATTGTAGAATCCTGCTGCTTATTGAGGTAAAGAATACACTAAGAGGATTACAACAGGGGTTGAGGGAAGGGAGGCAAAAGCCGATATTCTTGATGCATATGTTTTAAAATTGGCTTGAGATAGAGATATCAGTGCTCAGCCCCTGACTGTTCTTTTAAATCTCTTATTGACAAGTAGAACCTTTCCTACAGAGAAAAATTTGGAACATATAATCCCCATTTGTAATGTAGGAGTCAGCTATAACCCTGACATTACAACCTGTTGCTCTTTTATCCATTTCAATAACAGTTTTGGAATCTACTACACATTGACAATTTGGCGAATACATTTTTCAACATCTCTCTATTGTTGCTTTAATTGGCAACATTTTTAGATTGACTCAGTTTAAGGGCAATCAAATTAGATGCTTCCATGAAATGGATGAGATTTAAACTTCATGGTAGTTAATATCAAAGAAAATATTTCATGAGAAGAATAGCTTGAGGAATGCCTGGTTATGGGAAAATAGAGCAGAAAAATGGGCTCTGGTGTTTGGCAGGTCATATGTTCTGCCAAAATAAAAAGGAAACTTATTTTAATTTTAGGCTTTTAGTACATGGCTTTACAGACATCAGCAGGACATTAGTGACAACTTTCTATATAGAAACAGCAAGAGAAACATCAAGTTGTAATTTTGGAACTATGGTATACTTGTTAAAGTTTAGCTTGTAAATTCAGTAGTTATGGATGATAGTAGAATGCATTCATAATTACTGAATTACCATATTATTCTGACATTATTCTTTTTGTCACAAAGGAGGCTGGGAAAAGACAAAAACTCTTTGCGATTCTATTTCTTTGGAGAACAAGTCATTGAAAAATGATATTTTCTATAAATTATTCGTATACTAAAGTAAATACAAAACTCCAGTTTAAATTCTGAACAGATTGCCATTAGCATAGGACACAGGACTTGAATTAAAACCCCAAGTCCTTCTCTTATTTTCAGCCCAATTAGATCTTAGATATTTTGCCTTGTTTGACTGCATGATTTTGCCTTGCTGATATTTTCTACTTATAACTCTTTCCTTTCATTGGCTTTAGAAGTGGGTGGACCGATCAGCTATAGAGTAAGAGCATAGAAACAATAAGAGAGAACAGACATTACATGAGGAAAGAGATTTTATAACATTTTTAAAATTAGCTGTGATTTTAATATATGTAAAATTATTCAAATTGACCCTAAATGCATTATCAAAAGTGAACATCGTATAAAATATTTTTGCAATAGAATAAACAATTTGTTCAAAATGAGGGTTGTGCTCTATGAACTTCTTTCATGAAACATTTTATTGTGTTTTGTTTCTTAGTAGATGTGCAAGAGATGATCATAAGTGGTTCTTTACTTATTTTGAATTTGCACAAAAATGTTGAAGGCTATTCTACCTTCATTAGCCATTTGGAAAAAAAAAATAAACAAGTTTTAACTGGCCCAGCATTTATATGCATTATTTTATCATTGACTGCTTCTACATCAGCACAGTTTATTCAGACAAGCAAAATCATAAAGGTCACTTAAGGGAGCTATGTGTATAAGTACTTAGAAGGATAAAAGAGAATTTCTTTTCTGATTCTCAATAAGACTTAAAAATGTTTTTAGTGACATATATGAAAGTACACATTTACAAAGCAGTCTCAATCTAAATGCTGTTTTACACATATGAACATGCATGTGTGTACATGGGTGCACACACACATACACATGGCATATTATGTTGCAGATTGTCAGAGCACTTTTTTTTCTTAAATTTCAACTTTCATAGTTCTTAACTTCCCACTTTCATTTGATCTAAAGCTAAGCTATCAAATTAAAAAGTGAAGTCACAGAAGAAAAATTTAATGGCCATTGTCAGTTTTCAGTGTATCAGAACTCCAGACTTGGCAGGAATTTTCATTTTTTTAAATAACACAAAATAAAGCTGAGTTAGTGGACCTTGCTGTGTCTGCTCTATGTAGAATCACTTGGGAACTGTCCAGCAAAATATCTCTTGAAGAACAGCATGGTGTTAATACTAGGTGCCAGCCCAAGGCAGAGACAAAGGATCCCTTCACTCTTCACCAATAAGCCAACTGTTAAAAGATTAAACCATGTTGTGGAGATAACAAGAATGTAGGCGCTGGCAGCAGGTGCTGTACAAAGAAGCAGTTGGCAGTATGGTTCTTCTGTCTGACTAATTTCAGTCAAAACAATCTTCTGCCCAGTTGCAGAGGGGAGTTTTGAGTATGATGGCAACTTGGAGTTAGGAGGTTGAGTAAGAGTGCTATTTTAAATGCTGAGTCCTGTGGCAAATGGATTAGTAGAATGTAGTTTATTGTTGTTCAGAAACTGTGGGGATTCCCCTCCAGAATCCAGCCAGCCACCATAAGTGCTGTAAGTCAAATCTGCTTATGTGGTAGTGTTGCTGTCTTTTTTAAATTTCATTTTCACATATAGGAGTAATATGATGTTTTCTTTTCTTGAGAAGTGACTTTCCTTATAGAATAATTACCACATATATTAGTTTTATTCTTTTGATATTGCCTGATCACACTTGTAAAAATTTTCCTTTTAAATCATCATTGAATTTGTGCATTAAAAAATAATTTTCCACTCAGCAATATCTAGCATTAGCACAGATATAGCATGGAAGTTTTAGTGTTAGAAAATAAATTGATACTATTGAAGCAACATTATTTATTGGGTTTTAAACATAAATTGGCATGTTCTTGTAAGCATACACACATAAATATTGGTACTAAAAAACCTAGAATGATTTCTTAGTGAAAGTGCTCATATAATTTAGGAGATAAGATTTGTTCAGTATGAAGTAATAGAATTCCTACAGGTGATGTGAGTGCCTAATCATTTGACAATCAGGTTCTAAGTGAGAAATGCTAGAAGGTGCACTACACCTTTGAGATGTAATCTGATAAGGAACACAAGAGATGTGGGTGCAATGTCTCCCCCTTCAGTACCCTCCTGTCCATCCTCACAGCTATCTCTAAAGTCTCAGCTCATATTCCTTTAGGAGATTGTGTGAACTCCCAGATATTTTCCCTGCCTTTGATGTCTTCATTCTACAATCCATTATCCTCTACCCTTACCAGATCAACCTAACTAAAATCTGCTTTTAGCTAGATAGTTTGAAATCTCTCACCGGCTCCCTCCTGTCCACCTGACTCCATGGCTTTACACTTGACACTTTCTACAGTTTGGACAAATTTACTTTTTGCTACCAGCAAATCCTAAGACACATTGATTAAACTTCCTTGCCTTTACTTGGAATACCTTTTTATTCTTTATTATTCCTCTCAAACTGTCTCCATCCTTCAAAGCCAGGTTTATGTGTTACCTCTTTCAAGATGCTCCACCTTTAGGTTACTCCAGCAGAAATGAGCATACCATTTTTTGCATGCCTGTAATAACACTATTTAATCATTCATATGGAGCTTAACATAAAAGGTGGGTGGAGAGAGGGAGAGAGATTGCCTCTACTCTGTTGTATGTTTCTTTGGGGCAGGAAAAATATTTTATAATGTTCCACATCACACAACATAGGGTCTGGCATATTAGAGTCGGTGGTCAACAAGTATTGATTGAATTGAATTAAAGGGGATTGAATGCGCCTTTTTGAAAAGAGATATCAATCAGAATAAATAACGTTCTAGGATAACTTTTTAGGGCAAGTGTGTTGGGGAGTTTAACTCTTAGACTATGAGTTAAAAATGCATACTTATGAGTTAAAAATGATATAGGTAGATCCCAATATTGTCCTTCATGCTTCAGTTTCCATTGGAAAGTGGAGTTTCTCAAGCAGTGAAGCAAGCAGCAGGAGTCAGACAGTGTCATAGATCCTGTGGCCTGAAGCCAGTGTGTGGCTGATCACCAAGGTACCTAAGAGTGTCTGTTTTTGCTGAGTGAACTCCACTTTCTTGCTGGCTCACCACACTCACAGGCGCCCGGTGTTCTCATGCACAGGAGCACACAAGTGAAAGCAGGATAAATTGTTAGTTATTATAAATGCTATCTCTGCTGTTGGTATTGTCTAGCCCACAGGACTTCTGTAGATTCTCAAGTGAGCATTCAGTTCACTATCAGATGTGCTGCTGATTAGTTTATACCTCACAGTCTATTTAAACCAAGCATAGAATTTGTTTATAGTCCACAGACTCATCGTTTTCATGAGATTTGTCTGAATGTGCTTCTACAAGTGGGTCTTCATTTTGAGATTTACCCCTGAGCCTCCCTGAGTCTGGTAGATTAGCAGCATATACCAACTTTGCATATTGTCTTAACAAGGACATATTTTTAAAACCCCTGAGTATAAACATGAACAATGCCTAACACATTTTGTTAGTGTGTATTGGTAATATTTAATATTTTCCCATTGTTATTGTACTATTGGATATGACTTATAGAAGAACATAAAATTGTCCTCTCCTTTCATCTTACTACTACAGTACATTTTGTAAATATGTATTTTTGTTGAAAAGAGATGTTGTGGTTTACACCTATCCTTCTTGTATCTCCCTGTGGCCTCTCATCACAGATTATTTTGCTACTTCTAGGCACTCTTGTGAATGTGAAGTCACCCAGTGAAGTTTGCTGGGAGGAGGGAAGATTGACATGATTTTCTCAAATGAAATTTTGGAATACTGTTAACTATTGTTCTTTAATTCTATGAAAGTAAAAAATAAACATATAGAATAATTAAGACACAAAGGTACTAAGACATATTATTTATTTCATATATCAAGAAGAATAAGTTTACATGATCTATTCCTGAAATCTGGATTTTCAGCCTGGAGACTGTGTTAACTATTTACCCTTATTACATGGTATTTTGTTTCTGATTTAATAATAATAATGTCTCCACTTAGTTGAATATCTATTATGTGTCAGGCATTACATTAGGCACCTTATTCACATTCATTATTTCATTTAATGTTATAGGAACTGTGCGGGGTTTTTTTTTTTATACCACTGAAGAAACTGAGGTTAGTAATAGCAGAGGAAAGATTCTTGGTCTTTTTGACTTCAAAACTTTCATTGTAATATAAAACACTTCTCTTTATGAGCCTTACCTGTGAGCATGATGGAAGTGTTGTAGTCTCAGCACCCCACTGAATAGCTGTATGACAGCAGACAATCACACATGGTATCTAGTTGTTAGTCTTCTATCAAAAAGAGTTGGCTCAGTTGCTACGGAAGGTCCTTTCTCAGATTCCACATTCTTTAATTCCAATGTATCTGTTTCTAGAATTTCATGATAAAAGAAAGCATGTACTTGTCTAAAATCTCCTAAAAAATAATTGAAATGCCTACCAAAAGAGTATACTTTTGGAGTTTTTAAATAGTTGAAATATCTTGTGTGACATTGGGAAAGTGGCTTAGCTGAATTGACCTACTGCTTTCTCTTCTATAAATGATGTTAGTCATACCAGCCTCACACAGTTGCTGTGAAGATGAAATGAGAAAGCATGTGTGATGTTCAAGCATGGTATTTGGTATATGGGAAGTGCTTAATAAACGATGGCTGCCTTTCCTCACCCTAACTAGTTCTTTTTTCTGTATAGACAAACATGGTCAAACAAGGATTTTATTCCGTGCTTATTAAAACCAAAATTTTTTAGAAATATTTTTCCTAAGTCATCAGTCATCATTGTGTTTCTTTTCCACACTGCAAACACATGAGAAATAAAGTTAAATGCTGAAAAGAAACCACTTTTGAAAATCCGTTGATTGAACTCACTTCCTCTTTTAAAAATAAATCCTTTCATCTATTAGGAGAGAATTTTACATGCCATAACTCTCCAGTAGATGTTGACAAATTTCTCTATAGTTATTACTTATAAAAAATGTTGTATTGTTTCAGTAAGTAAGAAAATGGTTAAATGACCCTTCCAGCAATATTTCCCTTTAATTTCCTTGGCAGAAAATCCTAACATTTAAAAGAAAAGCAGTTCACCAACCACCTTAAAATGTTTAACCCATGATATTTAGACCCAGAGTAAAACTTTAAATTGATGCAAAGGTTAAGGATTTGTTTCAGTCTTTTCAGTTCACTGCACGTTTTTTTTTTCCTGTGCATACATATTTCCAGTAAGGTCTGTAGTTATAACTACAGCAAGTGACACATGATGGACCCCAAATTGCTGCACTGTGAAATATGCACAGAAAAAAAAAGACAAATGAAGATATCAAGGTCTGTTTTATTTTGCGCTGAACTGTAAAATGCCACCCTTGTTTGGACAGAAGATTACTGATTCTGAGCAGGGCTCGCTGACTGCTAAGTTGTGGGTAGTGTTTCACTTTCGGCAACTGTTAATATCCAGGGTCATCCAGGCATAATGACCTCACTATTTGTGACACATTGTTGAATTTTCTGGTTCTTTTAACTTATTTAGACCTTTCTCCCCCCTCTCTATTCATTGGAAGACTGGAATGATCCTGAGCCGAGCGATAACTCAGGGCTGCCTGGCTATTGGTCATCCTATCAGAGTCAAGGTCGCAGAGGGAACATCACTGGAAGGATATGAATTAATCCTACAGAAAAGGTAATGCTTATGAGTTATTTAGCTCAAGATAAAAATGTTAATTTCAAGAATTCTGAGCAGTTCAATTGTGAATTTGTGTTCACAATAATAGTATTCATTCCTGAATCTAAAGGAGTCTTGAAAATATATGCCACTTAGTTTGGTAGTGTTTTAAAAATATTTGAAAAGGTGAAATGTTTGGCTTTCAACATGTACCTCTGTTGTAGAAAACCTCTGCTTTACTCTATAATTATCAGAACTAATTTCTTTATATTTATTTTGATTGCTAATTAAAAATCACAAATTTCTGTGTATATTCTTAACCTTTTTTTTCATCTTCTGAATATAAAATATTGAACTGTGAAAGAAAAATCACAGAGACCAAAAAAAGCAGGCTTGTATGGGACCATAAGTGTCATGTGTGTGTGTGTGTGTGTGTGTGTGTAAAATAATATATATATATATATATATATATATATATAATTTTTCTGATTTAGGAAGATACAGCTAAAAGTAAACAGATTGAGGAAGACAGTTGATTTATCTCCAAGAGCCTCAAAATATTGTTTCCTAGTCACTTTCTTTTTTCTTGATCTTTTATATTTTGTTTTCAGTTAGTGCTGAAGAAAAAAATTCCTATCATACTTGAGGACTTAAAAAGCCATTACCAAGTGCTTCTGGTTAGATAGGCACATAGGATGTATTTAGGCTTAAATAATCAGAGCAGTTGATCCAGTCTCATAAAAGCAGAAGGGAAATTTTCTCTAACATGCAAAGCAGATATAAGGATGTCATGTAATGATGAAGAATGTGATCTACAGAGCTAAATTTCCCAGTGTAGATCCACACAGCACTGCTTGCTCTAACAACAAAATGTCAAGCCAGATGCTATTCTAATATCCTTAAAATGCATATCCTTGCAACATTCTGATAGAGTAGGTAACATTATTATCTTTACAGGTAAGGAAATTGAGATATAGAGAAGTTAATCACTTGCTCAAGGCCATACCTACTAAGTGATTTGGCAGGAATGCAAACCCAGTCAGGCTCTATAACCTGAAAGTAGACACTTAGCCACAACACTACACTCCTGGGTTCAGGCAATGCTCCTGCCTCAGCCTCCTGAGTAGCCTGTTAGTTGAAGTCCAGTCAGACAATTGCCAGTGAGTGCCAAGTGGTAACAGATACCTTAGTGGATGAGCAGGGTACATCACTTGAAAAACTCAGGCAGATGGGAAAGGAAGATGGTAGTTTGGCATCATGCAAACCCTTCAGTGCTAACAGAGTCCTACATACATAGTTCCTAAGTAGTGGCAGACAACCCTAAAGCAAGTCTCAGTTTGATATAGAGCTGCATGCAGACTGGGTAATAAGATTTCTGGAGCAGAATGAGGTCTATAAACTAGAGACACATGTACTGGAAACTAGAGCATGAACTTGCAATGCCAATGCCAATGCAAATCCATGGAACATGGAGCCAGATATACTTCAGCTCATTTAGTCCACAGTTATACTAAAGAGAAAAATCAACCAATTGTAACTGACCCAAAAATGACACAGATGATACAATTACTAGATGGGACATTCAAACAATTGTTTTAACTGTATTCTCTATATTCAAGAAGCTAGAGGAAAGATGGAACATGTTAACTAAATACATAGGAGATATAAAAAAACTCAGTTCTAGATATGAAACTATAATATATGATAAAAAATATGCTGAACATGGCTAATGCCAGATTAGACAATGTGGAAGAAAATAGCAGTGAACTTGAGAAGATAACAAAACTACTTACAAGGAAAACCAGAGAGAAAACAAATACTTCAGAAAAAGAACAGAGCATCAGTGAGATGTGAGAAAATTTCATATGGCCTAATTTATGAGTATTTATAGTCTCTGACAGGTTAAAGCAAGAAACAGAAAAATATTGAAGGAAATCATGTCTGAACTATTTCTTTTTTTTTTTTTGAGATGGAGTTTCGCTCTTGTTACCCAGGCTGGAGTGCAATGGTGTGATCTCGGCTCACCGCAACCTCCACCTCCTGGGTTCAGGCAATGCTCCTGCCTCAGCCTCCTGAGTAGCTGGGATTACAGGCATGCACCACCATGCCCAGCTAATTTTTTGTATTTTTAGTAGAGACGGGTTTCACCATGTTGACCAAGATAGTCTCGATCTCCTGACCTGATGATCCACCCGCCTCGGCCTCGCAAAGTGCTGGGATTACAGGCATGAGCCACTGCAGCCGGCAGTGTCTGAACTATTTCTATATGCAAAATTGAGAACTATAACCCACTGATTTAAGGAACTCAACAAATTCCAAACACAAGAAGCACAAAGAGACAAAACCAAGGCACATTATAATAGAACAGTTTAAAATTAGTGATAAAGAGAAAATCTTAAAAGCAGAGAGAAAAAGCATGTTATGTACAAGAGGAACTAAAATAAGGCTGACAGCAGATTTCTTGTTGGCAACAATGCAAGTAAGAAAACAGTGGAAGAGCAACTTTAAAATACTAAAAAAGGAGGTGGGGAGGAAACTGTTAATATAGAAAACTTTTCCCAATAAAAATGTCTTCCACAAATTAAGACAATAGAAAGAATTTAAGACATTCACTAACTGAAGAACTTGTCACTAGCAGTTCTTCATGACAAGCAATGTTAGAGGAAGTCCTTCAGGCAGAAGAAAAATGATACCAGATGGAAATATAGAGCACTGGCAATGGTAACTATATAGGTAATATAACAGTGCTACTAGGCAGAGCATGGTGGCTCATGCCTTTAATTCCAGCACTTTGGGATACTGAGGTGGGCAGATAGCTTGAGCCCAGGAATTCGAGACCAGCTTGGGCAACATGGCAGAATCCCATCCCTACATGAAATACAAAAATTATTCAGGTTCAGTGAAGGTCCACACCTGTAGTCACAGCTACTTGGGAGGCTGAATCAGAAGGTTGAGGCTATAGTGAGCCACGATTGCACCACTATTCTGCAGCCTGAGTGACAGAGTGAGATTATTCTAAAAAAACCAAAAACCAAAAAAAAAAAAAAAAACCCCAAAAAACTCAAAACCCCACACTGCTAATTATTTTTGTGTCTTTAAAAGATATAATTGATTGTTTAAAGCAATACTACTACTAATAATACATTGTGGAGATAATATGTAGAAATATAATGTGTGATAATCCAATAAAAAATTAAAAAAAAAAAAAAGAAATATAATGTGTGATGTAAATAACACAAATGCTACTGGGAGAAATATGGAAGAAAGATTTTTATACTATTTGTGAAATGATATGCTATCAACTGAGAGTAGATTATAACTTAAAAAGATATAATCACCAAAGCAATCATTAAAATAATAGAGTTATGGCTGAGAAACAAAAAAATAAATAAATAAAATGAAATATTAAAAATAATTAATCCAAAACAAGACAAAGAGGAAAAGAGGAACAAGGAACAGAAATAGAAAACAAATAACAAGATGGTAGACTTAAAGCCACCTATTATCAATAATTGCATTAAATATAAATAATCTAAATTTAAAAATCACACCCCATTTAAAAATCAGACATTGTTAGATTAGATGAAAAACAAAATTTGTCTATATGCTACCTATAAGAAACTAACCTTAGCCTTTTGGCTCTCTGAGCAGCACCATGGCAGTTGGCAAGAACAAGCGCCTTACGAAAGGCAGCAAAATGGGGGCCAAGGAGAAAGTGGTTGATTCATTTTCTAAGAAAGATTGGTATGATGTAAAAGCACCCGCTATGTTCAGTATAAGAAATATTGGAAAGATGCTAGTCACCGGGACCCAAGGAACCAAAATGGCATCTGATGGCCTCAAGGGTCGAGTGTTTGAAGTTAGTCTTGCTGATTTGCAGAATGATGAAGTTGCATTTAGGAAATTCAAGCTGATTACTGAAGATGTTCAGGGCAAAACTGCCTAACTTCCATGGCATAGATCTTACCCGTGGCAAACTGTGTTCCATGGTCAAAAAATGGCAGACAATGATTGAAGCTCATGTTGATGTCAATACTACCGATGGTTACTTGCTTTGTCTGTTCTGTGTTGGTTTTACTAAAAAAGGCAACAATCAGATATGGAAGACCTCTTTTGCTCAGCACCAACAGGTCTGCCAAATCCAGAAGAAGATGATGGAAATCATGACCCGAGAGGTGAAGACAAATGACTTGAAAGAAGTGGTCAGTAAATTGATTCCAGACAGCATTGGGAAAGACATAGAAAGGGCTTGCCAATCCATTTATCCTCTCCAAGATGTCTTCATTAGAAAAGTAAAAATGCTGAAGAAGCCCAAGTTTGAATTGGGAAAACTCATGGAGCTTCATGGTGAAGGCAGTAGTTCTGGAAAAGCCACTGGGGACCAGACAGGTGCTAAACTTGAGCGAGCTGATGGATGTGAACCCCCGGTCCAAGAATCTGTTTCAAGTTCAGACTTATAATAGTGGCAAATAAAAAGTCTTATTTGTAAAAAAGAGAAAAAAACTAACTTTAAATATAAAGACACAAATATGTTAGAAGTAAATCATGAAAAATATATACAATGATAAAACTAATCCAAAGAAAGTAAGAATGGATATATTAATGTCAGATAAAGTAGACTTCAGTAAAAAGAATATTACTAGGGATAAATAGGGCCATTTGATGATTAAGGGGCTAATTTATCAAGAGAACATAAGAATTCTAATTTTTAAAAAATGACACAACTTCAAAATATCTGAAGTGAAAGCTGGTAGAATTGCCAGGATAAAGAGAAACATCTACAACTCTAGTGAGCAATAATAATAGCTTGTTTCATAATTAACAGAACAAGTTAAAAAAATGTAAGGACATAGATTACTAGAATAACATTATTGACCAACTTTACCTAATTGATATTTATAGAAATATGCATTCAGTAACAGCAGATGCATTTTTTTTTTTTCGAGACGGAGTCTCACTTTGTAGCCCAGGCTGGAGTGCAGTGGCACAATCTCAGCTCACTGCAACCTCTGCCTCCT